TTCTTGCTCAATAGTTTCCTTTTGGTGGGGGCAGCGATTATGAACTGGATTCTCGCTGTGGAAGATGTTGATGTGTTACTCAGGCAGGCACTTGGTTAAGCAACGGTGGCTCTTCTGCATTGATGCTTTTGCCCAGAAAACTGTGCCGATTGAAAACTAAAAATGTGTGTTTGTATTTTTTTTGGGGGGCTGGGAGGGCTGGGGAGAAAAAAGGCAAAGATCCAAAGAACTGCGTAACACACAACATAGCCAACAGTACCTTGGACCTGTGTTTCACAAAGCAGGCAAATGCAGCATGCTTCCCTCACCTTCAAGTGCTGTAGAGGAAGCCTTAAAAGTATTTTGGAATTTGAAATGGGACTTAGAAGCTCCAAGCCAGAAATCCTACCAGCTGTGCGCAAGATATTGGTGCCTGTTTTGGATCTTGGCTAAAAAAGAAACATAATGCCCAGGCCGTGTCAAAGACTATTCTGCTCCATTCGGAGTGGCCGTTTTTCTTTGCATAGCATTGTGATGGGTTAACATTCTGTATCAAAGTGGCATTTGGGAGGACGTGTCAACATGAGAGGGAAGGATTTATAGAAAAGAAGGTCTTTGACTTGATCTTGGTAGTTAGAAGAGCTGCTCAGCATTTCCTTTTGGAATAGTTAGTTTCGGAAGATGTGCTTACAAAAAAGGAGTCATGACTAGTCATGGGCCTGAAATTTGTCTCATCTGTTTGAGTCGTATTTCCATTTTGTTCCGTCCATTGGGATGGCACGAAACGGGAAGGCCCCTCCTAGAACGAAAATGGACTTGAAATGAAAGGAAGGCAGGAGCGGGTATCGGCTCCATGCCTGCTTTTCAGATCGATTGCCGTGCGCATAGGCCCAAAGGGCTTGCAGCCAAGTGCCGAGTAAGGAGTGCTTCTTACTCAGAACTCAGCTGCAAGCCGACCACCGCTTTGGACCTACAGGTGCAGGCTTGGGCCTATGCGCCTGGGCCTGGCAGGGCCTGCAGCTGAGTGGCAAGTACGGCTTGTAAACCCAAAGAATGCACCCGTAGACCCAGGCGTTTTCGGGTGATGTCCCCCTTCCCAATAATGGGCAGAATGAAAACGGCTCTTTCAGCCCCAAAAACAAAAAACAAAAATCTGACCTCCCAATTTCGGGAGGCTCAGATGAAATGGTTTGGGGTCCCCACCAAAAGCTAGAAAAATGCATGTGGTCTGAGTACACAAGGCATTTTCTTCTCTTGCAATGTCTGCTTTTGTACTCAAACAGAAAAAAACCTTTCCTGTTACGAGACGAAAAAAACCCTTCTTTTTCCGCTCGGAGATGCTTACTGCTCAAGAGAGAGCTTGAAAATCAATGTTAGAGAAGAAAAGATATCGTTTGCCAACACAAAATCAAATGCAATTTCTGTATTGTTGCAAAGTGCATTTTCATATTCCGATATAAAAATAAAGCTGCTGGGTTTGTGGAGCAGAGTATAAAGCAGGCATGGGCAAACTTCAGCCCTCCAGGTGTTTTGGACTTCAACTCCCACAATTCCTAACAACCTCAGGCCCCTTCCTTTTCCCCCTCAGCTGCTCAAGCTCAGATCTGTTTCTGACCTTGCTTCCCTAGCAAACTGCCTTTCAGAAATGTGGCCTTCAGACACAGACCGCTCATTTTCAGTGCTTAAAATTCCTTGCTGGCTCTCCTGCAGACTTGCAGACCCAGAATCCGCAGTGTCAACAGAATGACTAACAGGCCCAGAATCCCCAGAGAGCTTAAGCGACTGAAGCTTAAGCATTTTCAGAGCTTAAAATCTCTTGCTGGCTCTCCTGCTCAAGCAGCTGAGAGGGACTGGGGCTGTTAGGAATTGTGGGAGTTGAAGTCCAAAACACCTAGAGCAGTGTTTCTCAACCTTCCTCCTGCCGCGACCCCTTAATACAGTTCCCCATGTTGTGGTGACCCCCACCCATAAAATTGTTTCCGTTGCTACTTCATAACTGGAATTTTGCTACTGTTCTGAATCGTCATGTAAATATCTGATATGCAGGATGGATTTTCATTCACTGGACCAAATTTGCCAATACGCCCACATTTGAATACTAGTGGGGTTGTGGGGGGAATTGAATCTGTCATTTGGGAATTGTAGTTGCTGGAATGTATAGTTAGCCTACAATCAAAGAGCATTCTGAACACCACCAATGATAGAATTGACCCAACTCTGCACACAGAACTCCCATGACCAGCAGAAAACCCTGGAAGGGTTGGGTGGGCATTGGCTTTGAGTTTTGGAGTTGTAGTTCACCTACATCCAGAGAGCATTGTGGACTCAAACAATGATGGATCTGGACAAAACTTGGCACGAATACTCAATATGCCAAAATGTGAACACTGGTGGAGTTTGGGGAAAATCAACCTTGACATTTGGGAGTTGTAGTTGCTGGGATTTATAGTTCACCTACAATCAAAGAGCATTCTGAACCCCAACAATGATAGAATTGGGCCAAACTTCCCATGACCAACAGAAAATACTGTGTTTTCTGATGGTCTTTGGTGACCCCTCTGACACCCCCTCGCGACCCACCCAGGGGTCCCGACCCCCAGGTTGAGAAACACTGACCTAGAGAGCTCAAGTTTGCCCATGCCTGGTATAAAGGGACAATTCCAAGATCACACATAACACTATTATCTGTATGTAGTGCAAAACGTACCATAGAATATGAAGATGCCAATCTGTGGGTTGGTAAACTAATACCCTAAGACAGAGGTCCTCAAAGTTTTTAAACAGAGGGCCAGGTCACAGTCCCTCAAACTGTTGGAAGGCCGGATTATAATTTGAAAAAACATGAATTAATTCCTCTGCACACTGCACATATCTTCTTTGTAGTGCAAAAACACTTTAAAACAATACAATAATTACAATGAAGAACAATTTTAACCAACTTATTAGTATTTCAATGGGAAGTGTGGGCGTGCTTTTGGCTGATGAGATAGGATTGTTGTTGTTGTTGTGTGCTTTCAAGTCATTTCAGACTTAGGTTGACCCTGAGCAAGGGCCAGGTAAATGACCTTGGAGGGCTGGATCCGGCCCCCGGGCCGTAGTTTGAGAGCCCCTGCTCTAAGACATATAATAAGAATTCAGTGGACTGCTCTGTGATTTCTGGACAAGCCATCTAATAGGGCTGGGCGGTTTCGTTCGTTAATTTCGTAATTCGTTATTAATTCGTTATTTTTTTTGATAACGAAGCGATATTGAACCATTCAGGAGCAACTAAAAAACGAAACGAATTTTTCAATTCGTTTCGTAATTGTTTCGTAATTGTTTCGAAATTGTTTCGTTATTATTTCCGCATGTCTGGTGCAAGTTTTATAGTTGTTGTTTGTTTTATCAGTGATAAAAAATAAATTATCACACCAACAGTCAACAACAGAGGGAGAGGGAAGCTTCAGAAGTTCCCCCTGTCCCATTTGGAGGGTTTTTTTAGCATATTGCGCAATCGCGTCCGCCATTAACGAATCGATTCGTAATTGTTTCGTAATTTCCGAAATTTTGTATATTTCGAACTTTTTTAAAGAAAAATTTCGGAATTCTTTTAAAAAACAAAACGTAAAAACCCCCTAAAAACGAATCGAGTTTAGAAACAAATTTTTCCGTGGTTGCCCAGCCCTACCATCTAATCATCATAGCAAAAACATTTATTTCATTCCAACGTTTGTCTATGCGTCACCCAAAAAAGCACCAAAAATGTACCTCATGTGCTTTACAAACAGGCCAAAGGCAAGCTCGGGACAGCAGGGAGACACAATGAAGGAAATACGACGAGTCTGATTTGAGAGCTTTTGGCAACAAACCTGGTCATTGTACAAAAATAACATTTGATAATAAAAAAAATCATCAGTAGATATTAAAAAAATGAGGACATCTATTGATAATGTTGTTCTCTTATTTGTGCTTACATGGCAGGCAAACGTTTGTTCTCTGACATACTCCATTTTGTCAGAAGTGTAAAAAATTAAAAAGGGGAAGCAATAAGAAAAAAAACCCAAACCTTCGGGTGTTATCAGCAGCTCTCCAATGTCTTAGCGTCTAGCTAAAAGTGCACAGAATTTTAACCCATCATGAGGCTGTGAGCGTATATGAGGTGGGTAAGTGTTGTGAACCTTCCAAAGGCCTTCTGACACCTTCAAGATGGAGATTGAGGCCACCATTGAGACGGCTTGCTTTGTTTTTTCTTCATTCGCAAGGTGAACAGATATCAAGGTTTTGCAGCATTGCAGTAAGGCACTCGCCCACAGTTAAGTATGCGACTGACCGTTGCATCGAAAGGGCAGCAGCTAACCCACTTTCAAAACAGATGGAAGACAAATTATTCTTCTCAGCTTCGTGGTAAGTGCTGGGGGTGCCTTACATTATTATTATTATTATATATAAGGGGAGAAAATTATCATTTTTCTTTCATGGGGAGGAGTAAACAGTGTTAAAATTCATCTATATACTACTGGTTTCTTTTCTTTTTTTTTCTCTTCACCAATTAAAGTATTTTGTATCCTAAAATATTAGTTTTTATAAATCTAGTCATCTGTTTTAAGGCTCTACAAGTCCCTTTGCCCCATAATCCCACCCGCCCGCCCCCAAATAATAAGGAAACAAAACCTGACCAGCATTTGATTTGGCATCGGAGGACCCAAGCATTCCACAGTCCAACGTCTACTATTGCGTTTCCACTCTCCCTCCCCCATCCCGTCCCGTCCCCCCCCCCCGAAAACCTGTTCCGTTTGGAATCGGAAGTTGGATCCCTTCCGCGGCTGTGTTTCGTCAGGGAATCGGAACACCCAAAAAACAAAGACAGTCTCTCTTGCGATACTGAAGAAGGTGTGTCCATCCAGTCGAGCGAGCGGCTCTCTTGCATTTGCCCCGGAAGATGCTGGTTTCCTGCCTCCAACGCTGTTGGCGCCCTGCAGTGATTTCTCATGGGATGCCCCAAAGTGCTCCCAATGCTTCCTTTATTTTCTTTTTTTAAAATATTCTGTATGGCTCCTACAAATCTGAAAGCTTTCTGGAGTGAGGTAAAAAATTTCGGCTTTCAAGCAAAGTACATGGTACGTAAAGTGTCCTGATGAACCTGCACGGCCTTGGCAAGGGCCTGAGGGTCTCGGCCGTTGCTTTGGCCAGATATGTGACTGCCTTCTCCGCTGGAAGGGGAAAGAGAAGGGACGGGGGACAAAACAGAGCATTGAGTTGGTAACGCTTCCTGTGTTGCAACAATATGGGTACAAGTTCCGGTATTTCTATATCACATAGGAAAAATGGAGCGTCATTATCTTCCTGAAGAAGCAATACCTACTGATCTTCTCCTGAAATTGAGGATATAGCACACATATTGTTTGATTGCAAATTGTATCAAAAGGTGAGAGACTTCCACTTTGGTCCATATATCAAATGGACAATGTATTGGGATTCTCACATCAGAACAACATATTTTATGTGTGGCCAAGACCCAAAAATAACATATAAAACAGCTTTGTACTTAAGCAAAACAATACGTCGGAGAACCACATATGTAGGACTGATTGGGGTAAATTGTAGGGGTGATAATGAAATATGATGTATATACTCAGCTTGATCAGTTTATCAGCTTTATCATGTCTTATCATATGTATTTACTGTATTATTATAAGTGTCTTATTTTAACTTTCTACGTGGAGTGTGATCAGGTCTTGTCAGGCCTTGTTGTTGTGTTTCTTATTGTGATATGGCCTAAGGGCTAATCAATAAAATTACTACTACTGATCTTCTCACATTTGCGTGTTTTTGAACTGTTAGGTTGGCAGAATCTGGGGCTAATGGCGGGAGCTCACTCGCTCCCCAGATTGAAACTACCAAGCTTTCTATCAGCAAGTTCAGCAGCTCAGCAGTTTAACCCGCTGCGCCATTGGCACGAATACTCTATGTGCCCAGATGTGAACACTGGTGGAGTTTGGGGAAAATAGACATCGACATTTTGGAGTTGTAGTTGCTGGGATTTATAGTTCACCTACAATCAAAGAGAATTCTGAATCCCACCAATGATGGAATTGGGCCAAACTTCCCACACAGAACCCCCATGACCAACAGAAAATACTGTTTTCTGATAGTCTTTGGCAACTCCTCTGACACCCCTTGCAACCCGCCGAGGGGTCCCAACTTCCAGGTTGAGAAACTGCTCTATTTGGGTTGTTGTAGGTTTTTCCGGGCTATATGGCCATGTTCTAGAGGCATTTTCTCCTGACGTTTCGCCTGCATCTATGGCAAGCATCCTCAGAGGTAGTGAGGTCTCTTGGAAGTAGGAAAATGGGTTTATATATCTGTGGAATGACCAGGGTGAGACAAAGGACTTTTGTCTGCTGGAGCTAGGTGTGAATGTTTCAACTGACCACCTTGATTATCATTTAATGGCTTGGAAGTGCCTGGGAGGAATCTTTTGTTGAGAGTGATTTGATGTGCCTGATTGTTTACTCTCTGTTGTTTTGCTGTTGTAATTTTTGCTCTATTTGTTATTATTATTATTATTATTATTATTATTATTATTATTATTACATTTCTTATTTTATTCTATTATCACTGTTATTATTACATTTTGATTATTTTACTCTATTATTATTATTTTATTGCATTACTTATTTTACTCTATTATTATTGGAAGGATAAGTAAGCACATTTACATAGAAGAAGGTGAGAATAAATTAATCAGAGTTTGAATAAATTAATCAGAGTTTCAACAAGCCTTTGAAAATGACCAGTTCTAACTCAGCTCTACACATTGTCGAATATGGCCTTATACTTCCTACCAATTATTCAGATCATTTCCTCTGGAATGAATAGCCACAGACCCATACCTAATATTATTGTTGCCTGCCACAGCATTGCATTTAATTCCCGAGCCCCCTATAATTTTTGGGTTTGCACAAATCTTGGCCCGGCCTTTTAAATTTTTAAATTGCCTTGAACGGGCAGGATTATTTTTAATATATGTGTGTTATGGCGACAATTATTATGCTTATATTTTGTTTTGTTAATCTTATGGTTATGTTGCTTTTACTTTGTATGTTTTGTGATGTTACCTGGGAACTGCTCTGAGTCCCTTCGGGGAGATGGAGCAGTATATAAATAAAGTTATTATTATTATTATTATTATTATTATTATTATTATTATTATTATTATTATAGTCTTAAATCACACTTTTATGTAAATATTCAAAAACATTTAACCTACAGATGCCTCCATAAATGTAATTTTATTGGTATCGGAAATTCACGGAAATTCGGCCGGGAAATTCCAACTGGTCCAACAGGCGGCAGCCAGGTTGTTAACTGGTGCTCCTTACAGAGAGAGGTCAACCCTCCTGTTTAAGGAGCTCCATTGGCTGCCGTTCATTTTCCGGTCCCAATTCAAGGTGCAGGTGCTTACCTACAAAGCCCTGAACGGTTTGGGACCCGCCTACCTGCGTGACCGCATCTCCGTATATGAACCCACACGATCTCTCCGATCATCTGGAGAGGCTCTGCTCACGATCCCACCTGCATTGCAAGCGTGATTGGTGGGGACGAGGGACAGGGCCTTCTCCGTGGTGGCTCCCTGACTCTGGAACTCTCTCCCTAAGGATATCAGACAAGCCCCAACATTGGCAGTCTTTAGGAAGAGCTTGAAGACGTGGTTGTTCCAGTGTGCCTTCCCAGAATAGGAAACTCCTAGCATCATATCCCAATTGCACTTTACTAGAAATTAAGATTGTCTGCACATCGCACTTATCTCCAAAAACCTATCCATCTCACCTGTCATGTTCAGCATTTTAAAATTTTAATCATTACATTTGGCCTGGCCTTAGTTTTAAATGCATCGTGATGTTATTGTCTAATGTTTATTGCTATTGTTTTAATGTTTATTGCTTGTTTTATGAATTTATTTATTGTTGTATTTGTTATGCTGTTGTTTTATTGATGTGTTGGGCCTCGGTCTCTTGTAAGCCGCACCGAGTCCTTTGGGAGATGTTAGCGGGGTATAAATAAAGGTGGTTTATTATTATTATTATTATTATTATCTATTTTTATTTTGAACTTTATCAGTAGCTGAGGCATTTCCCACCCTTGGCTTATACTCAAGTCAATACATTTTCCCAGTTTTTTGTGGTAAAATTAGGTGCCTTGGCTTATATTTGGGTCAGCTTATAATTGAGTATATATGGTAATCTCCAAAATGTTTTACTATATCCTGGTTTTGACCTATAAAGCCCTATACAGTTCAGGTCTGGCCTATTTGAAGGATCATACTCTCTCCCCCCAAGCTGACTGTGTTTTGAGATCTACTGGTAAGTTTCTTCTTTCTGTGCTATCAACTTCCCAGGTACATTCCCCACTAAGAATGCACCACAAAGTGACTGCGACAAAGCAGGCAGTAGAGGAAAACTTACCTCTGGGGGTGGAGGAATGTTCACAAGAAAGACAAGCATTATTGCGTAATTATCAACCAGTTGCTCACCTGTCATGCTCTTTGTCTACAAGGTGATATCGTGCCCGAAAGGCCACCAAGCGGGCATAATATGCTGGTGCTGGGATAGAGACAGAGCGGGTGCAGCGGACGTACGTGTGGCAAAGCTGGTAGGTGAGGATTTGGAGCTCGTCTGCTGTAAACCGGTTGTCGTCCCACAGAACGTAGTAATGAGACGGTCTGCTCGTACCCTGGCGAGAAGAGGAAAAAAATTAGTGTGCATATTGCAGTGATGGTTTCATCGAGATGCTGTTCTCCTGGAAGAGCTACCAGGGACATATAGAAAGCAGTCCATGAAATAAAAGATATCTCAAATATTGTTACACATTTGTCCTTAAGAAGAATCCTCATTATAAAGCAGCCCAGAACCAGAAAAGGCCAAGTTTTTTTCCCTATCATACAACTCAACTTGGACATTGCTACAGCTCCCCTCACTTATCAAAGAGATAAGAGAATAATGTTGGTGACACATACTTTAGATAGAGAGCAAGGGTTCCCTGAAATGCAAAAGGCAGAGGAACTGTGGACGTGATCTTCACTGCACGACAGCTCCAAGAAAAATGCAGAGAACAAAACCAACCTCTGTACATGGCATTCATCGACCTTGCAAAGGCATTCGACATGACTTGAAAGCACAGAACAACAACAACAACAACAACAACAACAATCCTATCTCATCAGCCAAAAGCAGGTCCGCACTTCCCATTGAAATACTAATAAGTTTATATTTGTTAAAATTGTTCTTCATTTTAATTATTGTATTGTTTTTAAGTGTTTTTTTTGCACTATAAATAAAATATGTGCAGTGTGCATAGGAATTCCTTCATGCTTTTTTCAAATGATAATCAGGCCCTCCAACAGTTTGAGGGACTATGACCTGGCCCTCTGTTTAAAAAGTTTGTGGATCCCTGCTTTAGACACATAATTTTCACGATATCTGCCACCACAGATAAGTAAAACAAGCAAAACATTGGTGGGCTGTTGTAGGTTTTTTTGGGCTGTATGGCCATCGTCTAGAGGCATTCTCTCCTGATGTTTCGCCTGCATCTATGGCAAGCATCCTCAGAGGTAGTGACCTCACTACCTCTGAGGATGCTTGCCATAGATGCAGGCGAAACGTCAGGAGAGAATGCCTCTAGACCATGGCCATACAGCCCGAAAAAAACCTACAACAACCCAGTGATTCCGGCCATGAAAGCCTTCGACAATACAAGCAAAACATCTTTAAGCTGTTTTGAGTCTCTTTTTTGGAGAGAAAAAGCGGAGTATAAATAACAACAACAGTAATAAAGCAAATTAAGGATAATTCTACAATATTTGCAGATGTAATGTACTGTGATTATTCCACTCCATTCTGTTGTCACCTAGAAAGTTTGCGCTTGAGAACCATGCTGTCGAACTAACAAAAAAAAAATTTGTATTATAAGTAAGTTTACAATTTTGTGTTGGGATGCATTCATAGGAGTCTAGGGCCATATGTGGGCCACGGGCCACAGGTTCGACAAGTCTGCCCTAGGCCTAGAAGGGTTAATACCCTTCTGGGGTCTCCCTCATCTTTTGTAGGTCTTCATTCAACCTGTGCAACACACAAGAATTGACCAGCGCAGAATGTTCTATCACTTTTGAGCAGGTCCGGAACATGGCTACTCCTGAGCTAGTGGAGGGACTGGCAAAACCAAAATATGTTCTGTTCCTCTCTAAGAAACACACACACACATTCCTTTTCCATGAAAGGCTATTCAAAACATGGTACCTGAATGCCAGCGTGACTGCACAGGTAGAAATCAAACTCAAAGGGATGAGTGATGTTTGTGTCCACAGTTGTTCCCGCAGGGATGTTCCCACTTTTGCCAATCTGCAGAGTTTGTTATAAAAAAAAGAAGAGAAAGGGTTGCAGGGAAAGCAGTTTCTTAGACTGATGGATAAGGTGCAGCTTCTGTCTGTTTTTCCCCGGTAAAGCTATATTTAGGGGATCTGAAAATAAGCCGCTTCACAAAGAACATTTACAAATTCAGTATTGAAGTTTTACGAGCACAACCAACTGCCCATCTGTTTGTGGGTCAAACTGTCCTTTGCTGCATAAACAGACAGCACTGGAGGATAGGTAAAAATTCAGGTGGGATCACAAAGTTTAGACTTGCCTATGTGACACCATCAATTTAATGATCACATATTCACAAGGTATTCAGGAATTAACCGATCTAGTTTAAGATATCTGCAGATGACACCCAACTCCACTACTCGTTTCCATCTGACTCCAAGGAAGCCCTGAGGATACTGGACCAGTGCCTGGCAGCTATCACAGTCTGGATGAGGACGAACAAGCTGAGGATCAATCCTGACAAGACAGAGGTCCTCCATGTTAGTTGCCCGTCTGATCGGGGTATTGGGTGGCAACCTGTGCTGGATGGGGTTGCACTCCCCCTGAAGTCACAGGTCCGCAGCTTGGGGGTCCTCCTGGATTCAGCACTGACACTTGATGCGCAGGCGTCGGCGGTGGCAGGGAGGGCCTTTGCACAGTTAAAACTTGTGCGCCAGCTGCAACCATACCTCATGAAGTCTGACTTGACCATGGTGGTCCACGCCTTAGTTACCTCTAGACTGGACTACTGCAATGCACTCTACATGGGGCTACCCTTGAAGACGGCCTGGAAATTACAACTTGTCCAACGTTTGGCAGCCAGATTAATAACTGGGGCTAATTATAGGGAGCGGTCAACTCCCATGTTTAAGGAGCCCCACTGGCTGCCGTTTATTTTCCGGTCCCAATTCAAGGTACAGGTTATCACCTACAAAGCCCTAAACAATTTGGTAATCAGGACAAGAACATTTGGTAATCAGGACAAGAACATTGAACTGCCTATATGCAAGAGAGATACCAAAATACAGGACCCCATCTTTGAGCCTCACCCTTTCATTCTTGTCAGCACAGAAAAGGCGGGTGTGATGACGCTTCTGTACAACAATGTAGGTGATGCCTGGCTGGTAGTCCTTCTCCAGTTTGATGCAGGCATCGCGGATGGCCAAAAGCTCATAGTGAAGGATCTAGAAGGAAAAAGCAGCCAAAATGCTTTCAGGAGGAGGATATGAGGAAGCAATGTCAAATCAATTTCTGTACTGAGAAAGAGAACAGGGACAGTGCAAATCTAAGTCCAGCTCGATCCAGGACATTCTCATTTGCTCTATGTGAGTATGCTTTCCTCCTTCTCCCTCCCAATGCCATATCTGTATTGCTCCAACTGTTCACCTGAGGCCCTGGACTATCTCAGTATCATTCTATTCTGGTAGCCTTTTTGAAATGGAATTACAAATAAAATGTCCAATAAATAAATGAAATTAATAAGGATAACTTTTAGTGCAGCCTTTAAATGGCTTTATAGAAGGTTCATTTAGTGGAGGGTTTTTTTTGGTGGGGGTCGGTGACAACTAAAGATGAATAATAATTATTGTTGTTGTTGTTGTTCATTCGTTCAGTCGTCTCCGACTCTTCGTGACCTCATGGACCAGCCCACGCCAAAGCTACCTGTCGGCTGTCACCACCCCCAGCTCCTTCAAGGTCAGTCCAGTCACTCCAAGGATGCCATCCATCCATCTTGCCCTTGGTCGGCCCCTCTTCCTTTTGCCTTCCACTTTCCCCAGCATAATTGTCTTCTCTAGGCTTTCCTGCCTCCTCATGATGTGGCCGAAGTACTTCAACTTTGTCTGTAGTATCCTTCCCTCCAATAATAAAAACTTTATTTGTACCCCGCTACCGTCTCCCCAAGGGACTCGGTGCAGCTTACATGAGGCCAAGCCCACAGTACATCAATAAACAAAACAATACAATTAATATAAATCACATAACAAAAATAAACAATAAAACAACAAAAACACACAAGCATTTAAAACCAATGGCTGGGCCAAATGTAATACATTAAAATTAAAAATAATACTGGACATGAACAAGGTAGGATATAACAGGGATAGAATTTTCAAGGAGAGATAAAGGAACACAGTCAGTTCTAAATCAATGGTAAAGTGCATTTTGAGGGCATATTGCTGAGAGTATTCCTAGTATTGGTTTAGGAAGACCCATGACTATATTCCCCTCTGAATCTTAAAGCTTTTTGGGTGACCACGGGCTACTCACATACACTCTCCTCAAGTTCACCATTAGAAATGTTGTAAGGCAGTGTTTCTCAACCTGGGGGTCGGGACCCCTGGGGGGGGGGGTTGCGAGGAGGGTGTCAGAGGGTTCACCAAAGACCATCAGAAAACACATATTTCTGATAGTCTTAGGAACCCCTTTGGCAGAGAAGTCTGAAGATCTCTCTGCATGTAGTTCTCTTCCTTTTTGGAAACAGATGGCAACCCCCCCCCCCCACTAAAAGCCCTCCTCTTGCTGTGATTGACTGGCCTCTCAGCTGGCCTCTCAGCCAAGGGGAGGGAGGGCTGTTTCTGAAACTCCAAGTGGGCAGGYGAGAGCAGGCYTGCTTGACGAATGGTAGCCTGGTTCGTATGTGTGAGCGAGGAAGACCATGCGATGCTGGAGGGAAGCTCATACCAGCGAGTCCCTCCAAGGCAGTGGGAAAAACACCAGCTTAACGTGGGACTGAGAGTGGCCCAGCAGCATCAGAAGGAGGAGGAAGAGGAGAGAAGCAGCTTAAGTAATTTGGAACGGTATTTATTAGAAAAAAGTCAGTCTTTCCTTTTGTTTTTTATTAATACTCCCATTAGGAAATGCATAAGGATATGGGTGAACTACAACTCCCAAAATCTTGGGCCAATCCTCCCCAAATCTCACCAATATTCACAGTTGGCCATGTTGGGTCTGTGTGCCAATTTTGGTCCAGATCCATCATGATTTGAGTCTACAGTGCTCTCCGGAAGAAGGGGAACTACAACTCCAAAACCCATGATCAATGCCCACCAAACCCTTTCAGTATTTTCTTTTGGTAATGGGAGTTCTGTGTGCCAAGTTTGGTTCAATTCCATCATTGCTGGAGTTCAGAATGAACTTTGATTTTAGGTTAACTATAAATCCTAGCAACTACAACTCCCAAATTACAAAATCAATCCCTTTTCAATCACACCAATATTCAATGTTGGGCATATCTAGTAGTTCTGCAAAATTTGGTCCAATGAATGAAAATACATCCTGCATATCAGATATTTACATTATGAATCATAACAGTAGCAAAATTACAGTGATGAAGTAGCGACGAAAATAATTTTATGGTTGGGAGTCATCACAACATGAATTAAGGGGTTGCGGCATAAGGAAGGTTGAGAACCACGGTTGTAAAGGAACATTCAGATCCTATTTATCTCTGAAAACTCGTCGTTGACAGAAGACTATGGACGGCTGGCACCACAAGGCCCTGCTCCAAGGCTTCCCCAAAACAAGGAAATGGGATTGAAATACGATTTTAATCTTTTGTTTGATTTGACCTAAGGTGGAATAAAGGTAGGTATAAATATAGCTAACAGTAACAAGAGATTCCCTTTTTGGGTTGTCCATAACATCCTGCCAGCCGCTCTTAGGAAGCTGGGACCCTCACCTGAGGGAGCTGTCCTTCTGGAACTCCGTCGCGGTAGAATATGATGCGGGTGGGCTTGAAGCGGGTGGACTTGTAGAACTGGATGAGGAGTTCCCTGACCATGTACGAAAGGTCCTCGATGATTTCTTGCCGGGGGCGCTGGACCCGCACCGTCGCACAGTAACGACTCGGGTGGGCATCCATGCTTCCCACCACCTGCAACCAATAAAGAGCAAAATAATAATAATAATAATAATAATAATAATAATAATAATAATAATAAATTTTGTGTGTGTCAGGAGCGACCTGAGAAACTGCAAGTCGCTTCTGGTGTGAGAGAATTGGCCGTCTGCAAGGACGTTGCCCAGGAGACGCCCGGATGATTTGATGTTTTATCATCCTTGTGGGAGGCTTCTCTCATGTCCCCGCATGAGGAGCTGGAGCTGATAGAGGGAGCTCATCCACCTCTCCCCGGATTCGAACCTGTGACCTGTTGGTCTTCAGTTCTGCCGGCACAGGGGTTAACCCACTGCGCCACCGGGGGCTCTAATAATAATAATAATAATAATAATAATAATAATAATAATAATAAGCTTTATTTATACCCCGCCACCATCTCCCCAATGGGGACTCGGAGTGACTTACATGAGGCCAAGCCCAAACAGAAAACTACAATAAAATAAAACCGAAAACGCAAACAATAAACAACAAACAACATAATTACATAAAACATATGAAAACATAGCAATACAAAATTACAATAGGCACACTCACAATGACAATGGGCGGGCTACATGTAATGATTAAAAGAGAGACTGATTAAAACTAATTAAAAGCTTTCCCACAAAGTGGGGATGGCATATACTCTAATGACAAAATGTTGAGGCTAAGCAATAGTGTGAGAATGTAAACCTATTTATCAAAAGCACAGCGGAAGAGCCAGGTTTTAAGGTCCTTTTTAAAGGTTTCTAAGGTAGGGGCTTTCCTAATTTCTCCACTTAGTTATTGCAGAGACTTAATCACAGCAAATACATTATTCAAGCTCTACCAAATGTTGCATCAAAGTCAGCAGTGTAACCTTCATTTCTCCTCAGATATAACAAAAATAAGACAAAATCATGGAGGGAGATATGGTCATGAAGGTAGGCGGGTCCCAAAAGCGTGGATTCACCATTCTTCCCAAGGGGAATGGATATTACTTTGATTCTCTTTTCCTTTACTTCAGCCCCCCCGTCACTTTCGTCATGCTTGGGAGACCAATGGAGACAAAAATTGAAAGCTGACAACTAGTGAGGAGTAAAACTAGCTGAGAGGAACATTGCTTTTGATTTTAGAGACAGTCCCTGGCCCCTTGGGGCACTGCTGGTGTTCAGGTCATGACCATTACAATTGGAGAAGACACAAAAGGATCGGAAACTGGGGCAAGCTCCACAAGAACAGCTGCTGTGCAGATCCTTCCTGGATACTCTTTATATTACCCAAGACAAAAGAGATGACAGCTGTGGGCCAAGGATCAGTGGTGTGGTGAGACGAGACAAGGCACAGCAATGGATAGAGAGAAAAAGAGCCATCCAATTTGGGAAAAGCAATAGCAAACAAAAACCTAGCGATGGGAAATGCATAACAGTCACCGTGTGGGAACACTTATTTGGACGACAACTTCAAGAATCCCAGAACAAGCCTGGAGGTGGAATCATCCCCCAAACTAACGTTTTTCTGAGTTATTATACATGTTGAGTATCCCTTGTCCAAAAGGTCTAGTTGGGATTTTGGATATTGTGAGGGGAGGGGAATTTCGGAATTCTGTATTAACGGTTCTGGCCCAACTTACTTGTCCAAACGTATCTCCCCTTACGAACCACTGAGGACTTTAACATCATCTAGGGAGGCCCTGCTCTCGGTCCCGCCTTCGTCACAAGCATGTTTGGCGGGGATGAGAGACAGGGCCTTCTCAGTGGTGGCCCCTCGGCTATGGAACGCCCTCCCTAGGGAGATCAGATCTGCTCCCTCCCTCTTGACGTTTCGGAGGCAAGTTAAAACGTGGCTATTAGAGCAAGCGTTTACAAATACAGAGTAGCTAATATAGGAAATCGAATGACCTGACAATGGAACTGGACAATGCTTGGGAATAATGAGATGCTGATGATGTTGTTTTTACTGCTTTTGTGATGTCTTATACTGTTTAATGTTTTTTTTTATCTATATTATGTTTTATGTATACTGATTTTTTTGAAACCGCCTTGAGTCGCCGATTGGCTGAGAAAGGTGGTATACAAATACAGTAAATAAATAAAATCTGGATATGCACACACAACATTTCTTTATGCTTCTTATACACATTGCCTGGGTTCAATATCACGTGCATTCAGGTCCGTAGCCAGGATTTTGATTTTTTTTGGGGGGGGGGGGGGGGGGGAGGATCTACCCTAGCAACTTTTGTATCGTTATCCCAATACCCATGCATATGGGATATATTGAGCATGGTGATCAGATCATGGAATAAATAACAGTTTAAATAATGTACCAGTAAGGCCTTCTCAGACCACCCTGAGAATTGGGGAGGCTGAAGCCCCCCAAGCCCCCCCCCCCCCCCCCCCGGCTACATGCCTGCGTGCATTAAACAAAGTTTGTTGGGGAAGTGCCCTGATTAAACAAAGACTCTCCTCATAAATGAACAGCAGAGTAACTTAGCAGCAGCATGACCCAGCACCAGTAGCCCAAAGTGATAAAAAGAACAATAACACAGAAACCAATGTTATCTCTTCCATAGGAAGCTTTTCTCTATAGCAAAAATAATATGGATGCACTATTTACAAAAACAAGGTTTCCATGACACATAATAAAGTTCAACCTTCACATTGGAGCTTCACACATGAGGACTTCTCATACTCTGATGCCTTCTCACAGACCTCAGACAGAGGCTTCTCTCAAAGACTAAGGCCTACTTCACACTGTGAGGCCTTATTCTGGTTTCAGCTTTCCACTTTCTAGGTATAAGTCATCTACACTGATGATTGTGCCATCACCACCCAAGCAGGGAATTTTGAAATGGTTGAACAGAAGCTCTCCAAAGCTTTAGGTGCTCTTACTGTTTATTACAGGGAAAACCAGCTGATTCCTAATCCATCTAAAACACAGACGTGTGCTTTTCATCTTAAGAACAGACAAGCATCTTGAGCTCTGATGATGACCTGGAGCACTGCAGCACACCCAAATATCTTGGAGTCACTCTGAACAGTGCTCTGACTTACAAGAAGCACTGCTTGGATATCAAGCAAAAAATGGGTGCTAGAAACAATATAGTACGAAAGCTGACTGGCACAACCTGGGGATCACAATCAGACACAGTGAAGACATCTGCCCTTGTGCTTTGCTACTCTGCTGCTGAATATGCACACCCAGTGTAGAATACATCACACCATGTTAAAACAGTGGATGTAGCTCTTAATGAGACATGCCACATTATCACAGGATATGCTCCACACCACTGAAGAAATTGTACTGTTTAGCTGGTACTGAACCACCTGACATCCATTGGTAAGCAGCAGCCAATAATGAAAGGACTAAGGTGGTAACATCTCCGGCCCATCCTCTGTTCGGATATCAGTCAGCATGCCAACTTAACTCAAGAATCAGCTTCCTAAGATCAAGAGAGATACTCACAGGAATGCCAACTTCACGAAAAGACCATACTCAAAGTAAGATGCAACGCACAGGGCCACCTCACTGAGGCTGTTGAAACAGGCAAGGGTGTCAAGCAAGGCTGCGTCCTGGCCCCTTTGCTGTTCAACTTTTATATAAACTCCATAGTGGACCAGCTTCAAAACATGGACTTCCACCCCCCAAAGCTGGCGGGAAGACACATCTCCATCCTGCTTTATGCAGATGATGCTGCTGTACTCTCTAGAACACCCATTGGGCTCAAAAGAGCTCTGAGAGCATTAATACAACATTGCAACACAGATCAGCTCCAACTTAATTACAATAAAACCAAAATCATGGCTTTCGCTAATAGGCCCAGGACTTACTCTTGGAGCATAGATGGTCATAAAATTGAACAAGTTACATCCTTCAAATATCTAGGTGTAGTTTTCCAATCTAATGGTAGCAGAAGAGCTCATGGGGATCAAGTAGCCAACACTGCGCAGAGGAGCTCAATTGCCATTCTTAAATATCTTAAGACAAGAGGAGGCCACTTTACACTGGCAGCGCTCAAACTGTTTGAAGCTAAGTCATTAGCCCAACTCTTGTATGGCACTCAGCTGGGCCCCTTCCCCAGTTTTGCTCCATTAGAGCTGGTTCAGTCAAAGTTTCTGAGATCGGCCTTGCAATGCGTTTCTAATGCCACCCTGCGACTAGAGACGAGCTTTATGAGGGTGGAGGTCAGGGTGTGGGTGGCCATACTCAACTTCTGGCTCAGACTATCCCGTGAACCCCTTGGTCTTGCCCCACTAACCATGGAGGATGACTTCCAATCCACATGGAAGCAGGTGGTAGCATCCAAAATCTCCTCATTGGGACTTTCTCCAGGTCTACTATTCGCTATGGATTACAATCAAGCTAAAGCACTTATTAAACAACGTATCACAGACTCAGAGAACATCAAACAAAAAGTGGGTGCTAGAAACAATATCATACGAAAGCTGACTGGCACAACCTGGGGATCACAACCAGAAACAGTGAAGACATCTGCCCTTGTGCTATGCTACTCTGCTGCTGAGTACGCATGCCCAGTGTGGAACACATCTCACCACACTAAAACAGTGGATGTGGCTCTTAATGAGACATGCCGCATTATCACAGGGTGTCTGCGCCCTACACCACTGGAGAAATTACACTGCTTAGCCGGTATTGCACCACCTGACATCCGCCGGGAAGTAGCAGCCAATAGTGAAAGGACCAAGGCAGAGACATCTCCAGCTCATCGCCTTGTTTGGGTATCAGCCAGCACGTCAACGACTTAAATCAAGAAATAGTTTTCTTAGATCTACAGAGACACTCGCTGGAACACCTCAGCAAGCGAGAGTTCAAAAGTGGCAGGCTCAAACCCAGCACCTCAATCCATGGGTGATACCAGATGAGAGACTCCCCCCTGGGCACACAGAAGACTGGGCGACTTGGAAGGCGTTGAACAGACTGCGCTCCGTCACCACGAGATGCAGAGCCAATCTTAAGAAATGGGGCTACAAAGTGGAATCCACGACATGCGAGTGTGGAGAAGAGCAAACCACTGACCACCTGCTGCAATGCAACCCGAGCCCTGCTACATGCACAATGGAGGACCTTCTTGCGGCAACACCAGAGGCACTCCAAGTGGCCAGATACTGGTCAAAGGACATTTAATCAACTACCAAGCTTGCAAATTCTGTGTTTTGTCTGTCTGTTTGTTTGTTTTTGTTAAAAATGTAATACAAATGTCTGGTTGCTGATGACACGATAAATAAATAAAATAAATCATAATGCAGTTCAAACTGTATGTAGATGGATGCTCACTACGTCCCGGTCTGCAGGTACAAGTTCATGGGACAGACTGGCAATCTGTTTTTCAAGAGTCAAGACTAAACCTGCCTCCATCTTTCACAAGTCCATCACAACAACAATATTTGAGAAGTAAAACTTACGGCTGTTATAGAGGGCTTCTTTCCATCTCCTGCCGGCGGATGAGTCACATCAGCTCCCAGAAATATAACTGGCTGTTGAAAGACAGCAGAGCTGGGGGGAAACAGAAGAGAAGGTGTAAGACAAGAAAGATACTACCTACAATGTCTGTCTATGAGTTTTGGGGGAGAAATCTTATCTCTTTGTAAAGGCTAACTCCCCAACATTGCTACAGAATGGGGTCCTGGATCTTGTCTTTTCTTGCTTAAGCTATACAGTTTTCACCTTCCGCCCAACCCCATAAGTCCTAAAATTATCTATTTATACCCTGCTTTTCTTTTTTTTTTTACTGTTAATAACTGCAAGCATAGATATACTGATATAATTTGGAATACAGTACAGCTCCTGTATCCACGGGGGACACATTTCTGAACTTACTGTGGGAACTGAATGTCAGGAATATTAAAAATTAACTAGATATTTTAAATTACAAAAATATGAGTCAAGCACTGAACGGGTTAAATGGATGCAATGACTCATCCTAAGCAGGTGTGCCTGTAGCTTAGTAGCCCTCAGTTTGTGAGAGGTTTCTGTGTGAGAGAGGCGTCAGTCTGAGGGAGCCCTCAGTGTGAGAAGGCCTCAGTGCTACACTCAAGAATATCAAGCTTATGGATATAACTCTGAAAATGCTTCCACAGTCTGGTTTTTAATTGTACCTTAGTGATTGCTTAGTCTGCTCATTTTGGAATGACTTTTGGATTACTGTCTACTCATTTTTTGAAACTGCATTGTCTATTACATACTCTTTTCTTAATTAGCTTATTACTTACTAGCTGTCCCCTGCCATGCGTTGCTGTGGCCCAGTCTGTGTATATGTGCTTTGTGTGTATATATTTGTGTAAACATGTGTATATATGTGTATTTGCATATAGATAGATAGATAGATAGATAGATATGGTTTTGCACATGGTTGTAATGTATTTTTTAATTTTTTGCTTTTTAAGTCCCTTCTGCTGTGTTTTTCAGTGTTTTTATGAGTGATGGTCACTCGTTGGCCTGATAGGTGTATTGTGTCCGAATTTGGTGTCAATTCATCCAGTGGTTTTTGAATTATGCTAATCCCACAAACAAACATTACATTTTTATTTATATAGATTGGTGAACTGTGTGGTATTAGGGTGAAAAGTTGTCATGCAGGCAGCTGGGCTGCAATAGGTGACTTAACTCCACATCCCTCCATCTCCATCCCTTGATTCAAACCAGAACGTCTCCTTTCTATGACTGAAACACCCCCATTCCCCACCATAATAGGTTTAACACCCAAAGAACACCACTTTTTCAAAACCACAAGTAAACCACTGCATTTTAGGTGGTCTGTGCTACTTTCAGAAGCCTCAGGGGCAGAAAATTGGCTCCTGCACCCTCTGCAGTCTGCTTGAATCAGGGAACCAAAGGGATACAAAGAATGCCCCTGTCATTCAGTTCCACCAGCCCACATACCGTTGGTGGGGCACCAAGATGTTGTTGATCCCTCCCAGCTTGACGTTGATCTTGAGGCAGAGGTTGGACAGGGTCTGCGGAGACGTCTTCACGACATTCTTCACCTGCACGCACTGAGTGGCCATACCAAGGAGCGTGTCTCCTACGCGCTTCACCTCCGCTGGAGACAGAACAACAAGGTGTTTTTAAGTGCCTTAGAATGACTGGCAGAAAGACTGATTTGGAAAGAATTTCCTCTGAGATATAGGGAGAGAAAGCAGTAGTCTCAAGTTGGACTGAGAATTTGAGGACCAATTCAAATGTCTAAGAGAAATTCTGTATTTGTGTTAAAACAGCATCATATCATTTAAAGCTGCAATTAGCAGAAGGAGCGGCATCTGTCTACCACATCTTTGATTACTGTTTGTATTTAAATAACTTGCTTCCAAGCTACAGAAATTAACATTCTCTCAGTGGGACTACCTTTAAAAGCACTTTAGAAATTCAACAACTATAGAATACTGCTCAACGATTACAGCAATGCCCAATCGCTAACAGGAAACTGCATCATTCCTGGTCTCAAACAACCTTGCGGATTTCATGTACACTTTTATGCTCGGTTCCAAGAAGTGACATTTAAACAAAAGAGTGGAGATCTGGGCATCTGATGGTATTCCTTAAGAGCTTGAATTTCCTTGTTTCCTTCCACAGGCTGAAGTAAGAGCAAGAAAGAGCATGCCTTTGCTTATTCCTATTTTGCTTCCATCTTGCTGCCAAGCAAAGCTGCATTACATCTCACCAGGCTTAGAACATCTTTTAAAGTATAGTATATACTCGAGTATAAGCCGACCCGAATATAAGCCGAGGTACCTAATTTTACCACAAAAAACTGGGAAAACATATTGACTCGAGTATAAGCCAAGGGTGAGAAATCCAGCCGCTACAGGTAAATTTCAAAATAAAAATAGATACCAATAAAATTACATTAACTGAGGCACCAGGAGGTGAAATGTTTTTGAAACTGTAATTTGAGATAAGACTGCCCAACTCTGATTAAATCATTATTTTAACCTTCTTCAATGTAAATATACTTACACATCCTTCCAACAATAATAAAGAGAATAAAATAATAAATGTAATAATAATAACAATAAAGTAAAATAATGGAAATACAAAAATAACAGTAATAATAGAGCAAAATAATAAATGTAATAATAGAGTAAAATAATAAATGCAATAATAATAAAGTATAACAAATGTAGTAATAATAATAATGTATTGTCGAAGGCTTTCATGGCTGGAATCACTAGGTTCTTGTGGGTTTTTTCGGGCTATATGGCCATGTTCTAGAGGCATTTTCTCCTGACGTTTCGCCTGCATCTATGGCAAGCATCCTCAGAGGTAGTCACTACCTCTGAGGATGCTTGCCATAGATGCAGGCGAAACGTCAGGAAAAATGCCTCTAGAACATGGCCATATAGCCCGAAAAAACCCCACAAGAACCTAATAATAATAATAATAATAATAACAACAACAACAACAACAACAGGGTATAATACTGTAAATGTAATAATAACAGAGAAAGTAAAATAATATATGAAATAAAATAATACTAATAACAGAATAAAATAATAAATAACATAGCTCAAGTATAAGCTATGGGGAGCTTTTTCAGCCAAAAAATGTTTTGGCACTTTGCTTCTGTGCTATTCTCCTCATGACTGCTGGCTGATTGTGTGATATTTCCAATTACATATTTCCATGGAATGCTGACTAGTACTAAAGGTGCAGGATATCAATTTTGTCCTAAAATAGAATAAAAAAGAAGAAAACTAAGAAGCCGGGGTTAGTCTGTTGAGCAAGCTTTACATCTCAATAGGCAGCTTGTTTATCATCCTCATCATCATTATCATGGATGATCCGCCAATGATGTGCCTCTGCCAGAAAGGACAGTTTCATCTATACTGATGCTTGCACCATCACCCCCATGCAGGGAGATTTGAAATTGTTGAACAGAAGCTCTCTGAAGCTTTAGGTGCTCTTACTGTTCACTACAGGGAAAACCAGCGGATTCCTAATCCATCTAAAACACAGACGTGTGCTTTTCACCTTAAGAACAGATACGCATCTCGAGCTATGAGGATTACTTGGGAAGGAATCCCACTGGAGCATTGCAACACACCCAAATACCTGGGAGTTACCCTGGATCGTGCTCTGACTTACAAGAAGCAGTGCTTGACTATCAAGCAAAAAGTGGGAACTAGAAATAATATCATACGAAGCTGACTGGCACAACTTAGGGTTCACAACCAGACACAGTGAAGACATCTGCCCTTGCGCTTTGCTATTGTGTTGCTGAATATGCAAGCCCAGTGTGGAACACATCTCACCACATTAAAACAGTGGAGATAGATAGATAGATAGATAGATAGATAGATAGATAGATAGATAGATAGATAGATAGATAGATAGATAGATAGATAGATATGATGTTTCTACACCGCCTTCCTCACCCCGGAGGTTACTCAAGGCAGCTTTACATACAGGCAACAATTTACACTTAACACAATGTATACTTAAATAAATATTAAAACAGAATTAAAAAGTACATTAAAACAATTAAAACATTTAAAAACCAATACATTCTGAGTTAAATATGTAATCCACAAGCGTAATCCGGGCTGCTCCAATGGTCATTGCACATTGTTCCAAGTCTATCTATTGAATAAATTCTCCAAAGGCTTGGTCACAAAGCCACATTTTCACTCTCTTGCAGAAGGCCAAGAGGGAGGGGGCTGATCTAACATCGCTAGGGAGGGAGTTCCACAGCCGAGGGGCCACCACTGAGAAGGCCCTGTCTCTCATCTCCACCTATCTTGCCTGCGAGGGAGGCGGGACTGAGAGCAAGGCCTCTCCAGATGATCTTAAACTCTGTGGTGCTTCATAGGTGTAGATCTTAATGAAACATGCCGCATTATCACAGGATGTCTACACCTCACACCACTGGAGAAATTATACTGTTTAGCCAGTATTGCACCACCTGACATCCGCCAGGAAGTAGCAGCCAATAATGAAAGGAAGAGGCAGTGACTCTCCGGCCCATCCCGTGTTTTGATATCAACTAGCACACCAATGCCTTAAATCAAGAAATAGTTTTCTAAAATCTACAGAGATACTCACAAGAACACCTCAGCAAGCGAGAGTCAAAAAGTGACAGGCTAACCAAATAAAACTAGAACAATGGGAGAAAATTTGGAACCAAAAAATCAAATATACCTATTCCTATAACCTAAAAGAAAATCTACTTAAAATGATTCACAGATGGTATATTACACCTCAAAAGATCTCAAAATTCTATAAAAATGCATCCAACAAATGTTGGAAATGTGAACATCAAATAGGATCTTTCTTTCACATTTGGTGGTCTTGCCCCAAAGTAAAAGATTTCTGGAGTATGGTTCACAATGAAATACAAAAGATCCTTAAAATACAAATAAAGAAGGAACCAGAATACTTCCTACTTGGAATGCTTGACTTTGAAGGGGACAAAAATAAAGACATAATCTTCAACTACCTGTGCTGTGAAGGAGTTGAAAGGGAGTAAGAAGAAGGTGCAAGGTACAGGAACAAGAATAATAACTAAGATAGTGACTGAAGTTCAAGGGTAGATTCAGCTGACCTCTCACGGAAGCAACTGCCAAAAAGTTGCCAGCCAGTGAAAGTACATCAACTACTGGAGATTACCCTATATATCTTTGACTGGACTTCACCTTGACACTGGGTTTTGCTCTAACTGTCATAGTAACATAGATTTTTGTATTTCACAAGCAAACCCATTGAGATTTTTCAGCATTTATGTAATTTTACAAGGGATATGCAAAGTGTAAAGTGTTTGGGATAGTTGCTCTCCCTTATTTTTATAATTCTTTTATTTTACTATTAGCTGCTCTAAAGATTTCGCAATCTTATTACTTACAATTTTACCATTTTTACTATTTTAAGTATTAATTCAATGAAACATATATCTTGAATGTATTCTCCTGTTTTTTAACAATTTGAAAGTAAAAGTAGTAACGTCTTTGTACAAAACCCAGGAGTATCAAATAATTCAGACTTTGATTTTAGGCATAGTTAAACTCTCAAAGCCATAGGATGGTCTCTACAAGGGGCCAGTGACGTAAAGCCTCTGCTCTTAAAACTCTGCCAACTCTTGTCCAAAAATCAATTTTAGAATACTATGACCCAAAACTACCTGACCACTGCAGCCCGAATTGTTTTCGCTAAGAACTGGAGACAAAAAGAAACACCAAAAAGAGAAGAATGGCAACATAAAAGATTGGAAATAATGAATATGGACAAACTTACCTATTGGCTGTCACCAAATGAAGGGACACCAAAGAAACATACAAACTGGGACATGGTAAAAAGTTATTTTAAACAACAAAAAATAGAGATTATCCTTTGAAAAGACTAATCAGAAGTTGAAGAAGAACTAAAAGAGGGAAGTATCCTTTTATTTTACCAACAATATAGGAGAAAAAATCTACCCAAGATCTTCAAAGAATAGATGTAGAGTTTTTATGTATACATACTTTTTAAACTTTTTTTTCCTTTTTTTCTTTTTTCTCTTCCCTTGACATTTTTGGAGAGGATCTGTAAACCCTATGGACAAGTTTTTTGGGGGGTTTTTTTTGCCTTTATTCCCCCCCCCCTCACTTTTCATTGGTTGTGGTATTATTCTCTTACAAACCTCTTTTCCTGCTTTACTATCTCCTTCACAAATATTCCCCCACTTTCCTTGTAATCTTACATTCTATTAATAAAAATCATTTTTAAAAAGTGACAGGCTAAACCACAGAATGTCAAGCCATGGCTGAGACCAAATGAGAGACTCCCTCCTGGGCACTCAGAACTTGGAAGATACTGAACAGACTGCGCTCTGGGACGAGATGTAGAACCCACCTTCAGAAATGGGGCCACAAAGTGGAGTCCATGACATGCGAGTGCGGAGAAGAGCAAACCACAGACCACCTATTACAATGCAACCCGAGCACTGCCACATGCACAGTGGAGGACCTTCTCACAGAGACACCAGAGGCACTCCAAGTGGCCAGCTACTGATCTAAGGACATTTAGGATAATACATTACATTTTAAATACATTACAGCTGTACCCTCAGTTCGCTTCTGACGTGATAAACAAATCATGGATAATTAAGACGTCTTCTCCCAGCATCTTTCCTGTCAACATACCATACACTGGTGTTTTCCCCGGCAGGATGACGATGATGAGCTGGAGTCCTGAGTAGGTGTTCTTAAGGTGCCGGAACATGGGCTCCACACTATCTGCGCCTTGTGCATATTTGCAGAAACAGGGCTGACCCTGGATTGGCATCCCCGCATCCTTGGATATCTTGCGCAATTGGTCTGTGAAGTTTCTGCAACAACGGAAGATAAAAAAGCAACGAATGCAGAAGAGTTCCCCTTCTATTTGACTAAAAGCCATTACAAATCCAATAAAATATGAACGCTTGATTGCTTCCCTTCCCATCATACAAAGAAAAAAAACATGTCAGGACTACTCTTGAATCAGAGTTCAACCTAGGGCCTTAAACTTTAATGTCAGAGAGGTACCACTTGTCAGAAATATTAAAAATTAACTGGGTTTTTAAAATTACAATAGTGTGAGTCAAACACTGAAAAAGTTAGTAGGCCAAAGCTTGTTAGAGTCAGTGGGCCAAAGGTAGAGTTGTCCTGAGGAGAGTAAGTAGGTCGAAGCCTGTGAGAGTTAGTGGGCCAAAGCTTGTGTAGTCCTGAGGGATGTGACGTAAATCTCTGTGTTAAGAAAGCTGCAGTGTGAAGGCTGAAGTGTGTAAAGCTACTATGTATTTGTTTATTTGCTCTCGATCCCACCAGAATCGCAGGCGCGGTTGGTGGGGACGAGAGAGAGGGCCTTTTCGGTGGTGGCCCCTCAACTCTGGAACTCACTCCCTAAAGACATCAGACAGGCACCAACCTTGGCAGTCTTTAGGAGGAGCTTGAAGATGTGGTTGTTCCAGTGTGCCTTCCCGGAATAATGATCCCATAGCACTTTGTCCTCCAAAGCACTTTACACTTTTTAGATCTGCTCGTATGCCCTTCCACAAATGCCACTATCACCTTTCGTCCATGTCCCAGCATCATTTCCATTTTAACTTTACATTTGACCTTCTCATTGTTTTTAATTGCGTGTTGTCTTATTGATAATGTTGTATATTTTATTGTTTATGTGTTATTTTAATTGCTTGTACTGTTGTTGTTTTGTTTGTATTGTTGTATTCGGGCTCGGCCTCATGTAAGCCGCACCGAGTCCCTTGGGGAGATGGTAGCAGGGTACAAATAAAGTATTATTATTATTATTATTATTATTATTGTTATTATTATTATTATTATTTTGTGTTCTTGTAAATAGTGCAACCATATTACAGTGTTCCCTCGCTACTTTAGTGGTTTACTTTACACGGACTCTCTGTTTCGGGGGTTTGTGTAAATATTAATATAAAATATTTATGTACATTACAATGGGCCTCAGAAAGGGAGGCTGGTGTGCGGGCCGGAACTCCCTCCGCCGGCTCTGCTAAAATAATGTATAAATATTTAAATTAATACAGCGTTCCTACTTCGTGGATTGTCACTTATTGCTGGTGGTCCTGGAACGGAACAACAGCAATAAGTAAGGGAACACTGTATTTTACTACAAGAAGGAGCCCTTGGTGGCGCAGTGGGTTAAACCCTTGTGCCGGCAGGACTGAAGACTGACAGGTTGCAGGTTCGAATCCGGGGAGAGGCAGATGAGCTCCCTCTATCAGCTCCAGCTCTTCATGCGGGGACATGAGAGAAGTCTCCCACAAGGATGATAAAAACATCAAATCATCCAGGCGTCCCCTGGGCAACGTTCTTGCAGACGGCCAATTCTCTCACACCGCAGTTTCTCAAGTCGCTCTTGACACGACAAAAAAAATTCTCTCACACTGCAGTTTCTCAAGTCGCTCTTGACACGACAAAAAAAAACAAACTACAAGAAAATCCTTCTATGGAAGAGATAACATTGGTCTGTGTGTTTTGGTTCTTTTTATCACTTTGGGCTACTGGTGCTGGGTCACGCAGCTGCTAATAAGTTACTCTGCTGTGCATTTATAAGGAGGGTCTTTTGTTAATAAGCCCACACGCACAACACTGCTTGCCTTGAAATACAGGAACGTGTGACGGCGCTATCTTGCAGCAGCCACCCACCAATCGGGAGCAAACAGTATGTAGGGCCCAGGCTCAGATTTCTACAGCTCATGAATAGCCAGTCCTTACAGGTTAACATATCTGACTCTCTAAGATCATTCTAAGATGGCACACTGTTTTTGCCTTCTTTCTAAAGGGATACATTACAGCAGTGTGCTGCAATCTCAGCTAAGAAGTTGAACCAAGTTAAAATGGCGGTCCGTCTCACTCAATACAGTCTACACTGAGCAGCAGCGGCTCTTGAGGATTTAATATAGGAGCTTTGTTGTTACTAGGGGTTTGTAACGGGGCTTTTTCTAAGTCTTAGAAAGGATCAGGATTTTTTATGTTGCAGCTGTTATGGGTTAATTGAGTGTGATATTGTTTCCTGTATATAGTAAGGCATCAAGTGTTTGTAAATTTTGAGCATTGCGTTCTAAGCTTTGCTTGAGGGCTCGTTTTGAGCTGAAAAGCCTTTGTTTGGTGCCGGGAGCAGTTCTGCAGAGTCCCGAAGATAAAGTGTTTACGGCAAGACAAGGTCATTCTACAGACAATTGAGTAAGTGAGACTGTATATTATTCTGTTACATGTCTGCATATCGCCGTTGAATGAAGAGGACTCACTGAAGATATCGTTTTTGTTATGTTTTGGTGAGGGCAATTCTTCTGTCTTGTTTTGTATACAGTGAATAGAACTTTTATTTCTACTTAAAGTGGAGGATTCATGTGTTTTTATGAGTTATTTTTAAAGTTAAAAGGGCTACTAACGCTAATGCTGACAAGCTTTTCCTCCAGTGTTTTTGCCTTCCTTCTAAAGGTGATCACCAGGGATACAGGGAGCAAAGTCAGTCCAGCCTGGGACCCTCAGTCTCAGTGTGATCACCTCTGCCTCCCATATACACACAAAGCCACATACTGAAATAGACCACTTCAGAGAATAGTCTTTCCCAGAACCACCTGGAAAATTCAGGAATTCATCCTGGGACCTGTACTGTGATGCTATGGCCCTGCTGCAGTCTTACGTCTCCCAGCAAAGCCCCCACTTACTTCAGGACTTCTTCCCTGCACTGCTTCTGAGGGGCGAAGCAGGCGATGGCCCAGACTTTGATCTCAATGCCATTGTAAAACTGCTTTCCTCTCATGTCCCAGACCCCTTGGTTTGGTGTGGCGATGGCACGGTTCTGTGGAGAAAGCAAGACCTTTCATTCCAAAATAAGCTACACTTCTCAGGCCACACTCCAAAACCATTATGTAGTTCTATTCACATGCAGATAATCATTTGAGAAGGATGTCTTCGTGAACTGTCATCAAAATGACTTTGACCAATGAATGAGGCGTCTCCAAGTCATACTGCGGGCAAATTTAGGGCTGCTATGGCTTCCTTGGAATATGGTCTTCCCCTTTTCCTCTCGCCTTCTATCTTACCAAGCATTACTGTCTTTTCTAGTGAGTTATGTCTTCTTATGATGTGGCCAAAGTATGCTAGTTTCAGTTCAGACATTTGGCTTCTAGCACGAGTTCAGGATTCATTTGTCTTTTTAGCCATCCACAGTATCCATAGAAGTTTGGCCATTCAAAAATCTGCCATCAATTCCAACATGTAATGCTTAATTTAATTTCTCATGCCACATCAAGTACAGCAACTTCTGCCAAAAAATATTTGGAAACCGACCTCAGAATTGTGCTGGAGGCCTAGCGAGAACATTTCCCTGAGCACTGCCAGGTCCTCGAGCACTGGTCTACAGTATTCAAATATCCCAATTCTCTGGGATCTAAGGTCAGTATTACTACTCTAAATAGTTCCATACTACCAGCTGAAACAATATCATACGAAAGCTGACTGGCACAACCTGGGGATCACAACCAGATACAGTGAAGACATCTGCCCTTGCTGTGCTACTCTGCTGCTGAGTATGCATGCCCAGTGTGGAACACATCTCACCACACTAAAACAGGATGTGGCTCTTAATGAGACATGCCGCATTATCACGGGTGTCTGCGCCCTACACCACTGGAGAAATTACACTGTTTAGCCGGTATTGCACCACCTGACATCCGCCGGGAAGTAGCAGCCAATAGTGAAAGGACCAAGGCAGAGACATCTCCAGCTCATCCTGTTTGGGTATCAGCCAGCACGTCAACGACTTAAATCTAGACATAGTTTTCTAAGATTTACAGAGACACTCGCTGGAACACCTCAGCAAGCGAGAGTCCAAAAGTGGCAGGCTCAAACCCAGAACCTCAACCAATGGCTGATACCAAATGAGAGACTCCCCCCTGGGCACACAGAAGACTGGGCGACTTTGAAGGCGCTGAACAGACTGCGCTCTGGCACCACGAGATGCAGAGCCAACCTTCAGAAATGGGGCTACAAAGTGGAATCCTCGACATGTGAGTGTGGAGAGGAGCAAACCACTGACCACCTGCTGCAATGCAACCTGAGCCCTGCTACTTGCACAATGCAGGACCTCCTTGCAGCAACACCAGAAGCACTCCAAGTGGCCAGATACTGGTCAAAGGACATTTAATCAACTACCAAACTCACAAATTTTGTATTTTGTCTGTTTGTTTGCTTTGTTCTGTTAGAAATGTAATATAATTGACTGGTTGCCCTGACACGACAAATAAATAAGCTGATAACTGAAGAAACAGTGGTCAAGAATCTCTGTGTTGCTCACCCGGCCTCCATATTGTAAGATTGGAGCTGGCAAGACACGTCCCGTCACCTCTGTCATATCGTCCTTCACTTTAATGCCAAACTCCTGTATGTAAGGGTCCAGGTTATAACTGGCATTCTTCATCTGTAAAAGAAAGAGAAAGCTACAGTCCTCCAAACGGGCCACAATTTCAAGCAAGCTTTGCCCCTTTGGTCTGTGGAACTGTATCTGAGGGTGCGAATAATGAGGTTTGCCAATAAATTATTATTATTATTATATTTATTTATGCTCCGAAGGGGACTCCAAGAGGCTTAACATAACAGCATTAGCACAAAATTTAAAATATACAAATATACAAATGTTAAAACAGAATTAAATATAAACAATTTTTTTTTTTAATGGCAGAAATATCTGTATACGTAATAGGAAGATCCTATCACTTCTTCACTAGTTCCCCAAGAGGATTTTGATGGGTTCATGCCAAACATCTAATACATCTGCAAATGTCTAGGGGCATAAGAAAACCCCTCTCACATGTCCACTCTAAAATCCTAGGTTTTCAGTGACAGGAACAGGTAAGATAGATAGATAGATGCCGTATATACTTGAGTATAAGCTGAGTTTTTCAGCCCTTTTTAAGGCTGAAAAAGCCCCCCTCGGCTTATACTCAAGTCAAAATTATTTGTCATTTTACTCTGCTGTTGTAATTATTATTATTACATTTACATTATTGACTCTTTTATTATTATTATTATTATTATTATTATTAGATTTATTATTTTACTCTATTATTGTTACATTTATTATTTTACTCTTATTATTATTAGATTTATTATTTTACTCTATTATAAATAAATATAAATAAACGAATAAATAAATATTATTTTACTATTTATTATTATTACATTTCCATTATTTTATTCTATTTATTATTATTTTACTGACACAAAACACAGTATGTCACAGCAAACGAGATCTATATGCTGGATTTCGTATCACAAAATCACAAGTCAAACACTTCCCAAGCATCTAGGACTGTGTGATGTATTTTTGAATGATGCGTGCAGATCAAGTAAGGTGGCCTTTATTACTACTATTATTATTATTATTATTATTATTATTATTATTATTATTATTATTATTATTATTATTATTAGAAACACAACAAGATGAGTCCACAGCAGACACTCTGCTGGCTGTTGAATTGGATCACATGTCGGACACTTCCCAAGTGTCTAGGACTGTGTGATGAAACGGCGAATAATGCGTGCAGATCCCAGTAAAGTGGCCTTCTGCAGCTTGTGTTTAAGTGCAGGCCAAGGTCTTTAGACACTGCACCCAGTGTGCCGATCACCACTGGGACCACCTTTACTGGTTTGTACCAGAGTCTTTGACGTTCAATTTTTAAATCCTCATATTGTGTCAGCTTTTCCAGTTGTTTCTCTGCAATCCTGCTGTCACCTGGGATTGCGACATCGATGATCCATACTTTGATTTTTAACACGATTGTGAGGTCAGGAGTATTATACTCCAAAACTCTGTCTGTCTGAATCCGGAAGTCCCAGAGTAGTTTGGCATGTTCATTCTCTGTAACTTTTTCCGGCTTGTGATCCCACCAGTTCTTTGTCACAGGCAGATGGTATTTGTGGCACAAGTTCCAATGAATCAGCTGAGCAATGGTGTTATGTCTCTGCTTGTAGTCTGTTTGTGTGATCTTCTTGCAGCAGCTCAGGATGTGATCTATTGTTTCATCTGCTTCCTTGCAGAGTCTGCATTAGGGATCTGTTGTCGACTTTTCAATTCTGGCTTTGATGGCATTTGTTCTAATGGCTTGTTCTTGGGCTGCCAGAATCAGGCCCTCCGTCTCCTTTTTCAGAGTTCCATTTGTGAGCCACAGCCATGTTTTTTCTTTGTCAATTTGGCTCCCAATTTTTCCCAGGAACTGTCCATGGAGTGCCTTCTTTTGCTACTTTCTCTTCTGTTCTGGATTGTGTTTTTACGGTATTCCCTCTTTGTCTTTTGCACTTTAAGCAGTTTACTACTATTGACTTCCCTCAATGTTGGTTCTTGACTGCCTTTCACATAATCTGCCAGTGCGTGTTTCTCTTCTTCTACCATTTGTTTCACTTGCAGAAGCCCTCTGCCTCCTGATTTTCTGGGCAGGTAAAGTCTGTCGACATCACCACACAGGTGTAATGCGTAGTGGATTGTCATCAGTTTTTATTATTATTATTATTATTATTATTATTATTATTATTATTATTATTATCTCACCTTGGTCATTCCACAGATATATAAACCCTTTTTCCTACTTCCAACAGACCTCACTACCTCTGAGGATATTTGCCATAGATGCAGGCGAAACGCCAGGAGTGAATGCCTCTAGACCATGGCCATAAAGCCCGAAAAAACCTTATTATTATTATTATTATTATTATTATTATTATTATTATTATTATTATTATTTTACTCTATTATTATTATTGTCTTATACTCAAGTATATATGATAGGACAACAGGCTTACTTGGGGGGCGGGGCAAGAGAGATTAAATTTCAACTTTTCATAGTTCAGCCACTAAACAATGGAGCTATCCCACTGAAATTACAGAATCCAAATTATCACCCCCGAGAACCCCAACCCTGATTCCTTCCCAGCAAAGCGAAGGGAGAAGAGGCACCTACCAGCCGGCTGATTTCCTCCTGTCTGTCTGGAGCGGACCTTGCTGTTGCTTTGATCATGGTGGAAGTCTGATTGTCCGTCAACTTTTTGATGCACCGCTGGCCGGCCACAATGTTACATACCTGGCAGGATGGACAGAGATCCAAACATTTGTACAGTTTTATTTGGCCCAAAACAGGGTGCCTCAATGGCACTGTGATACATATGTAGGTCCATACAAATGTATGCTAAGGGCAAATATCTACTTCTTTCAACAATGCGTATGAAGATAATTTTTTGAAGGGAGTCAACTTCCAGTAGAGCCTCTCTGTGAAGTAGGGTCACTCCTTTGTAAAACGGTACTATTGCTATCCCATTTCACAAGATGTTTAAATAGCTCAGTAGATATCTAGGCTCAGGTATCAATAAGACTGAAGCTCAGTGGAAAAGCAACAGCCTTCCATATTTTGAAACACCTCTGACTAGCCTCTTATTAAAGAAAGTCATTTCAAAGCAGAATAAATAATAATTAGCTACACAGGGATCTTGGGAATGCATAAGACTACATACATCTCCCAGAATATGATGCCAGCATGATCTAAATCAGTGTTTTTCAACCTTCCTTATGCCGCGACTCCTTAATACAGTTCCTCATGTTGTGGTGACCCCCAACATAACATTATTTTTGTTGCTACTTCATAACTGTAATTTTGCTACTGTTATGAATCGTAATGTAAATATCTGATATGCAGGATGTATGCTCATTCACTGGACCAAATTTGGCACAAATACTCAATACACCCAAATTGAATACTGGTGGGGTTGGGGGAGACTGATTTTGTCATTTGGGCGTTGTAGTTGCTGGGATTTATAGTTCACCTACAATAAAAGAGCATTTGGAACACCGACGACGGAATTGAACCAAACTTGACACACAGAACTGCCACGACCAAGAGAAAATACTGGAAAGGTTTGGTGGTCACTGACCTTGAGTTTTGGAGTTGTAGTTCGCCTACATCCAGACAGCACTGTGGACTAGCACAATGATAGATCTGAACTAAAATTGGCACAAATATTCAATATGTCCAAATATGAACACTGGTGGAGTTTGGAGGAAATAGACCTTGACATGTGGGAGTTGTAATTGCTGGGATTTATAGTTCACCTACATTCAAAGAGCGTTCTGAACTCTACCAATGATAGAATCACGGCATTAGGAAGGTTGAGAAACACTGGTTTACACAATCATGTATCCCATTCCAGAAGACAAGCTTTCACCTCCAGAGGCAGATATGTGTGTTTCTGTTCTTGACCAACTTGCAGACACGGCAAATGGGGGTACTTCAGCTGGAGGTTGTATTTCTGCTTGAAGTATTGTGCAACTGTGCATTCCACCGTCTGACCGCTCTCCAACTGCAGGGGGAATCTACGCAAACAGAAATGCAGCAGTTTAAGGAGCTTAGGGGAAACAGCCATTGCCACTTATTCCTGAATGGTGAGTACTCCAACTAGGTGACTATACTAACCAATAATTTTTACATATTATTGTTATTTTGCATATTTTATTATTCACAGACTTAATTGATTGACAAAGATCCGCATAGTCAAAGCAATCGTATTCCCCATAGTCACCTACGGGTGTGAGAGCTGGATCATAGGGAAGGCTGAGCGAAGGAAGATAGATGTTTTTGAACTGTGGTGTTGGAGGAAAGTTCTGAGAGTGTCTTGGACCACGAGAACTTCAGGAAATAAAATCCGACTGCTCATTGGAGGGAAGGGTATTAGAGACAAAGTTGAAGTACTTTGGCCATATCATGAGGAGACAGGAAAGCTTAGAGAAGACAATTATCTTGGGGAAAATGGAAGGAAAAAGGAAGAGGGGCTGACCAAGGGCAAAATGGATGGATGGCATCCTTGAAGTGACTGGATTGACTCTGAAGGAGCTGGGGGTGGTGACGGCCGACAGGGAGCTCTGACGGGGGCTGGTCCATGAGGTCACAAAGAGTTGGAAAAGACTGAACGAATGAACAACTACAACAAGACTTAATTGAAAAGTTCCCTCTAAGAATCTCTCGGTCCTCCAGGGCAACCCTATGGTCAACTTCCCGGGAAAATGTCATCTCACATTTTAAAAATAGCAATTTTTAATTCACTTTTTTCACTTTCATGTGGCGGGGGGGGGGGGGGGGGGGGTGTCAGAAATATTAAAAATTAACTATGTATTTTTAATTACAGAAATGTGAGTCGGGCATTGAAAGGGTTGGATGGATGCAGTGACTCAGCAAAAGCAGTAGTTCAGTATGGGCAGGTGTGCCTGTTGATAATAATGCCTCAGTCTGAGGTAAACCTCAGTGGGAGAAAGCTCTCAGTCTGTGAGTAGGCCTCAGTCTATTTTTCCTCCAGAAGAAACACTATGGCTTATTTTCAGGGGGTGTCTTATTTTTATTAAGCATAGTACAACAATCTGCATTTATGGGATGATCTCTCTGGGCTCAGTAGTAGACTGCTTGCTGAAGCTTTCCCCCTATCCCCTGGTGTTTGTATGGGGTGAGAGAGGCCCATAGACTGTTAATGGTTGGTGCTGGGGAGTAGTAGTTTACTGGTGTTTGTGTGGGTGAGTGAGACCACAGATTGTTGCTAGTCAGTGCTGGGGAGCAGCAGCTTTACTGGTGTTTGTGGGGGTGAGACAGACCCAGACTGTTGCTGGTGGTGCTGGGGGAGAGAGACCCACAGTTTTGGGTAAAACAGCAACTACGGCTTTACTTCTTACCCCTGAGGACACACAATACCTAAAGCAGAGCGTTCCGCTCCTCACTGAACTGAGAAGACATTTATTTTCATTTTCTATGTCTCCCTCTATGCCTCAGCTTGTAGCATGCACAGAATGACTAGGACCTGACAGGAGGAGCTGACCTTGTACACTGCATAGCCACACCTATCACTATATCTTATTTTAGTGGTATATCTTAAAATCTTGAAAGAGGATGCTGTCAAGGTGATGCATGCCATATGCCAGCAAATATGGAAAACACAAGAATGGCCACCAGCCCTTGCGCTATGCTACTCTGCTGCTGAGTACGCATGCCCGGTGTGGAACACATCTCACCTCACTAAAACAGTGGATGTGGCATTATCACGGGGTGTCTGCGCCCTACACCACTGGAGAAATTACACTGCTTAGCCGGTATTGCACCACCTGACATCCTCCGGGAAGTAGCAGCCAATAGTGAAAGGACCAAGGCAGACATCTCCAGCTCATCCCTTGTTTGGGTATCAGCCAGCACGTCAACAACTTAAATCAAGAAATAGTTTTCTAAGATCTACAGAGACACTCGCTGGAACACCTCAGCAAGCGAGAGTCCAAAAGTGGCAGGCTCAAACCCAGAACCTCAACCAATGGCTGATACCAAATGAGAGACTCCCCCCTGGGCACACAGAAAACTGGACAACTTGGAAGGCGCTGAACAGACTGCGCTCTGGCACCACAAGATGCAGAGCCAACCTTAAGAAATGGGGCTACAAAGTGGAATCCACGACATGCGAGTGTGGAGAGGAGCAAACCACTGACCACTTGCTGCAATGCAACCTGAGCCCTGCCACATGCACAATGGAGGACCTCCTTGTAGCAACACCAGAGGCACTCCAAGTGGGCAGATACTGGTCAAAGGACATTTAATCAACTACGAAACTCACAAATTTTGTATTTTTCCTGTTTGTTTGCTTTTTTCTGTTAGAAATGTAATATAATTGACTGGTTGCCCTGACACGACAAATAAATATCCTTGAAGTGACTGGCTTGACTCTGAAGGAGCTGAGGGAGGTGATGGCCGACAGGGAGCTGTGGCGTGGGCTGGTCCATGAAGTCACGAAGAGTCGGAAACGACTGAACAAATGAACAACAACATATCTTATATTTCGCAAATGCTTAGAAATCCTGCTATGGCTTATTTTATGGGTATGTCTTATTTTTGGGGAAACAGGGTAGGCCTTTGTCTATGAGTGTGGACTGTGAGAAGGTTTCGCTGACAGAAGCCCCAGATTGAAGGCATTATGTGTAAAGCTGTGTGTAAAGCTCCTTTGTAAGTTCAATGTGAGAGGAGGCTCTGTGAGAGCGAAGCTAGAAGCTGTTTATCTGCATAAGAAAGAAGCCCAGCGTGGAAGCAAAGAAGGAAGTGTAAAGAACTTTGTGTTATGGAAACCTTTAGTGTAACCATATTATTTTACTACAAAGAAAAACCTCCTAAGGAAGAGATAACATTGATCTGTGTGCTTTTGTTCTTTTTATCACTTTGAGCTACTAGTGCTGGGTCATGCTGATGCTAATAAGTTACTCTGCTGTGTGTTTATGAGGAGGATCTTTTGTTGATAAGCCCACTCACCCAACAGTCTTGCACTCCTAATCCCAGCAAATGTGGAAATCTGGTTGTTACTAAGATCAGCCTGACAATTGCACCCCTTTCTGTTCAAAGCAGGTGGCCAGGTCGTGTTCAGCACTGAACGCAACTGAAGCATTCAGTCATTTCTTAAGAACTAGATGCCAGTCATGCAGCAATGTGAGTCACTGCACTGGGCAGACAATGGGTTTTCTGGAAAACTTTGAAGTGGGAGATCTCCCTACCCATATCAAAGGAGATATTACTTAACATTATTTAGTAATGATGGTCTTAGATCATCCATGATTATTATCATCATCTTTAATTATATCCCTTTTCTGTCCGAGACTCAAGGCAGCTTATGGGTTTAAAGTGATTACAATATAATGTTAAAAGTCTACATTAAAATACAGTAGTTCTAAAGAAATGCACATGCGTAAACATCATGGAAATTGTAAAGGGAACAGCACACTGCTCCCACAATCTCTTTGAGAGGAAGTTAACAATGGTGCCTGTGCTGGAACTTCACAAATCCCAGTTCCTGGGTTGTTGTAGGTTTTTCGGGCTATATGGCCATGGTCTAGAGGCATTCTCCTGACGTTTCGCCTGCATCTATGGCAAGCATCCTCAGAGGTAGTGAGGTCTGTTGGAACTAGGAAAATGGGTTTATATATCTGTGGAATGACCAGGGTGGGACAAAGGACTTTTGTCTGCTGGAGCTAGGTGTGAATGTTTCAACTGACCACCTTGATTAGCATTTAATTGCTTGGAAGTGCCTGGGGGAATCTTTTGTTGAGACAAGTCTTTGTCCCACCCTGGTCATTCCACAGATATATAAACCCATTTTCCTACTTCCAACAGACCTCACTACCTCTGACGATGCTTGCCATAGATGCAGGCGAAACGTCAGGAGAAAATGCCTCTAGAACATGGCCATATAGCCCGGAAAAACCTACAACAACCCAGTGATTCCGGCCATGAAAGCCTTCGACAATACATAGTCCCAGTTCCTTTTGTCAGACGGCCTCACCCCATTTTATAATAATAATCATAATCATAATCATAATAATACTTTATTTATACCCCACTCCATCTCCCCCAGGGGGACTCGGGGCGGCTTACAAGAGGCCACACCCATCAATACAGTAAACACAATATTACACAAAAGCATAACACAATATAACACAAGGCATAACAAAACTAAAAAACATAAAATGCAAAACCTAAATAATAAGCGAGATAGCAGTATAAAATCAGACAGTAAACACACAAAAAACTGCATGGGGTAAGGCCAAATTTAAGGATAACATTTTAAAATTTTAAAAGGAGGGAAGGAGAGAAGGTAGGAAAGAAAGAAGCATAGAGAAGGAAGAAAGGAGAGAAGGAGGGAGAGAAGAAGGGAAAGAAGAAGGGAAGGAGAGAAAAAAGGAAAGAAAGAAAGGTAGAGAAGGAAGGAAGGAGAGAAGGAGGGAGAAAAAAGAGAGAGAGAAGAAGGGAAAGAAGGAGGGAAGGAGAGAAGGAAGGAAAAAAGAAGGGTAGAGAGAAGGAAGGAAGGAGAGAAGGAGGGAGAGAAAGAGGGAAGGAGAGAAGGAAGGAAAGAAAAGGGTAGAGAAGGAAGGAAGGAGAGGAGGGAAAGAGAGAAAGAAGGAAAGAAGAGGGAGAAGGAAGGAGAGAGGAGAGAGAAATAAAAAGTGAAAGAGGGAGGGAAGAAGAGAAGGAAGAAAGAAAGAGGGAAGGAAGAAAGAGGGAAGGAAGGGTGGAACCAAAGAAAGGAAGTGAGAAAAGAAAGGTAGAGAAGGAAGAAAGAAGTTCACACAGTGGGTTTCTGTGACTGAGCAGGAATTCAAGTCTTGTTCTCTAAAGTTGTAATCCAGTGTTCAAACCACTATACTACACTGACTCTATTGAATTTGCAATAGTAATAACAGTGCAAATAGTGTTGTCGAAGGATTTCATGGCTGGAATCACTGGGTTGCTGTGAGTTTTCCGGGCTGTATGGCCATGTTCCAGAAGCATTCTCTCCTGACATTTCGCCCTTATCTATGGCAGGCATCCTCAGAGGCTGGATGTGGGCGGAACGTCAGGAGAGAATGCTTCTGGGACATGGTCATACAGCCTGGAAACTCACCGCAAGCCAAATTTTTCATCTATTTTTCTTCTCAGGAATCGTCAATGACCGGGAACTTTAGTAGCAATCAGTTACCTTCGAATTTTAAATATGGGCTTTGTTGTGAGGAAATCAGGTTAGCATCTGGGTGGAGATAGACCCAGTCAATATATCATCACCATTTCATGAAATCAATAGCATGGACATTGATTCTGTGGGGTTCACTGCTCAAACACAAAGGCAACCCGGCATCCTCCAAGCTGATAGAACGATAGGATACGTCAATGCTAAAGACACTTAGAGCAGCTTGAGTGCGACAGCACAGTGCCCCTTACCTATTCCCTTGTCTAAATTTTTCATGATCACAGCAGTGATAGAGGACTTTTGGTTCCATGCCATTAGGACCCCCTCCCCCCCAAATTAAGACCCCCGCTTGGCATGCCCCCTTATTCAACCCCTGCCTTACGTTTGGTGGCTAGCTGGCCGCCGGGTAACGTTACACACACGGTATTTCCTCTTCATCTGCCCACAGTGTGTCACTTCCACTTTCAAACCTAGTGAGAGGGAAAGAGAAAAAGAGGCTTAATTCTACATGCACTCATGAAGGTTTTGCAGATTGCCACCAGAATTTCCTACGAAAAAAAGTAATTAGCATTATATAAAACAACATCCGAAGTCACAGGTTGCGTCGAACAAAAGGAAGCGAAACCTCCACCAGCCAACCAGAAGCAGGAATATTGCATTCAAATCACCCCGACAGATGGCCACCCAGCCTCTGCTTCAAAGCTTCCAAAGAAGGAGCCTCCACCACACTCCGGGGCAGAGAGTTCCACTGCTGAACGGCTCTCACAGTCAGGAAGTTCTTCCTCATGTTCAGATGGAATCTCCTCTCTTGTAGTTTGAAGCCATTGTTTCGGGTCCTAGTCTCCAAAGAAGCAGAAAACAAGCTTGCTTCCTCCTCCCTGTGGCTTCCTCTCACATATTTATACATGGCTATCATATCCCCTCTCAGCCTTCTCTTCTTCAGGCTAAACATGCCCAGCTCCTTAAGCCGCTCCTCATAGGGCTTGTTCTCCAGACCTGATCATTTTAGTCGCCCTCCTCTGGACACATTCCAGCTTGTCAATATCTCTCTTGAATTGTGGTGCCCAGAATTGGACACAATATTCCAGGTGTGCCCAGGAATAGAGGGGTAGCATTACTTCCTTAGATCTAGACACTATGCTCCTATTGATGCAGGCCAAAATCCCATTGGCTTTTTTTGCCGCCACATCACATTGTTGGCTCATGGTTAACTTGTTGTCCACGAGGACTCCAAGATCTTTTTCACACGTACTGCTCTCGAGCCAGGCATTGTCCCCATTCTGTATCTTTGCATTTCATTTTTTCTGCCAAAGTGGAGTATCTTGCATTTGTCCCTGTTGAACTTCATTTTGTTAGTTTTGGCCCATCTCTCTAATCTGTCAAGATTGTTTTGAATTCTGCTCCTGTCCTCTGGAGTATTGGCCATCCCTCCCAATTTACACTCCCTTTCTGTCTCTTTCACATACAAAGTCTCTCTTTTCCTCTTTCTCTTTCCCTCTGTACTTCTTTATTCCACTCAGTTCAAAGAGGCTTAGACTGAAGATGGGTTTTTGATCACGACTAAGGAGCCTCCGGTGGCGCAGTGGGTTAAAGTGCTGAGCTGCTGAGCATGTTGACCAAAAGGCCACAGGTTGGAATCCGGGGAACAGCATGAGCTTCCGCTGTCAGCCCCAGTTTCTGCCAACCTAGCAGTTCGAAAACATGCAAATGTGAGTAGATCAATAGGTACCGCTCCGGTGGGAAGGTAACGGCGTGGCATGCAGTCATGCCGGCCACATGACCTTGGAAGTGTCTATGGACAACGCCGGCTCTGCGGCTTAGAAATGGAGATGAGCACCACTCCCCAGAGTCGAACACGACTGGACTTAATGTCAGGGAAAAACGTTTACCTACGTAACTGCAGCGTACAAATTGATTAGGCTGATATAGAAGGAATATGTTTAATTTTAAAAGAGATCTGGGATTGGATAACATGTTCCAACAATTTTTTTGGAAGGGGAGGGGGGAGATTCACTATTTGTGGGATTTACGAGCTAGCAGTATGTTATTAAATGTACAAGTGTGACTATAATATGCCTTAAAGGGAGTAGATTTGCAGTTAGAACTAAAATGAAACAGCAGACAGAAAGTGAGAGGTCTTTATTTTGCTAGCTTGTTTTAGTATATATGTTATGTACCGTATATACTGGAAGATAAGCCCAGTTTTTCAGACCTTTTAAGAGCTGAAAAAGCCTCCCTTGGCTTATAATAGGATCAAGCCGGGCAATGGAGCTTGGAGGTCATTGCTTGCATTTCTCTCTCATCTTCCCCTCCCTAAACAGCATGTTTTCTTTTCTCCTTCTGCTTTGCTTCTTCTCCCAGGATGGAATGTTTTGAAAAGGGAAAAGAGGGGGAGATAAATCCTTGCAAGTAAGGAATGTCCATTAGACTTATTAAAGCATTTCCCCCCGAAATATTTGTTGATCTCTTCCACAGATATATAGGCATTTCCCCCTGCAAGCTTTTGCAATCCCTATGTACTTATATATCTATATGTATACATTGTTTTTATATATGAATTTTCCCCTCACATGTTTGCAAGTTTCTGCAAATCCTATATAGATATTGATAAATATATAGAGGTATCTATTTATATGTATATCTGTGTGTGTATATATATGTGTGTATATGTATATATATAAAAATAATTTTATATATAAAGAGAGGGTAAATAAATGTTTCAGGGGGAAATTCATATGTGAAATTAGTATATATAATTATAGATCTTTATCTAGCTCTGCATTGTTTATAAAGGCATCGAATGTTTGCCTGTTACTATGTTGGAAGTCTGTCTGAGGCCCCATGGGGAGATAGGGCATGATACAAATGAAGATTATTATTATTATTATTATTATTATTATTATTATTATTATTATTATTACATTATGGTTGATCCAGTATTGTTTTTTTGACCCTCCTTTCCCACTTGAAAAGCTAGTTTACTGTTTTTCTTTGAAATACGGTAAATATTCAAAAACATTTTAACCTCCTGAAGCCTCAATTAATATAATTTTATTGGTATCTATTTTTATTTTGAAATTTACCAGCCTCTGCTGCATTTCCTCCCTGAGCTTATGCTCAAGTCAATAATTTTTCCTAGTTTTTTGTGGTAAAATTAGATGCCTAGGCTTATTTTCGAGCAGGCTTATACTCAAGTATATACAGTATGTATGTCTATGTATTGATGTGTTCTACTTTTTGTGTTTATATGTTCTTTGTGTTGCCATGTGCAGGTCTTTTTTTGTACTAGTAGATTAATAGGGTGTTTGTTGTTTTAAAATATATAAATTTGTAACGTATTCCCTCACTTTTTTACATTTGTATTAAGGTTTTTCCTATCTATCTATCTATCTATCTATCTATCTATCTATCTATCTATCTATCTATCTATCTATCCAGTTATCTACTTATTGGCTTAGAAAAAAAGCTACCATTGCTATCAGTTCCCAGGTGTAGTTTCCTTGGCAAGATTTGGTCCAAGGGAGGTTGCCATTCCTTTCTTCTAGGCTGCGAGTCTGTGACTTTTCCAGGCTCTCCAGTAAGGATTAGCAACTCCTTATTTTTCCCTCTGTCCTATTTATTATTTATTTATTTACAGTATTTATATTCCACCCTTCTCACCCTGCAGGGGACTCAGGGCGGATTACAATGTACATATACATGGCAAACATTCAATGCCACAGACACGCAACATATATTAGACAGACACAGAGGCAATTTAACATTTCCAGCTTTTTTCTTGAGGGTATTCTGGCCACCAGGGGAGCTGTCCTTTCACCGACCATTTGTGACACTGATGAAGTACTTCCTCATTCTTTGCGTGCTTGCTGGAAATTTTTATGGCCTTGTAAATTAGTTAAATTTGCCTCCCCGCATAAGCGGTACCTAAATTTCCTACTTGACAGATGCAACTGTCTTTCAGGCCGCAAAGGTCGACAGCAAGCTACACAAAATTGGTCAGAAGCTCACTCCGACCCGGGCTGGCTTCGAACTCATGACCTTTCGGTCGGTAGTGATCATAATGCAGCTGATTCCCAGCCAGCTGCGCCAGAGTCCCGGTCTTACCTTTGATCTCCTTGGTGAAGCGAACTCTCTGAGAGTCAGTCAGGGGCTTTGGCTGTTCATCAATGTTCCGGATATCGAGGACTTCACACATGAACTCTATGACAGGCTGGGCCTTATAAAAGGCAGTTGCTGACACTGTTATGGGGTAAGAGCAGATACAGAGTTCAAGTCAGTCAATATGACTTGATAATGTCAACATTTCCTACCTTCTCTAGATAACAGCACCCCAGAGTTAACATAGTACACAGGACACAAATCCTTTCTGTTTACGACATAATGGAACCCAAATCCTACAATCCAGGAGCCTAAATTTCGGGTCTTTTTGACAGCTGCAACTTTTGACAGGGAATCATAGAACCATGGAGTTGGAAGAAGCTTGTGGGCCATCCAGTCCAACCCCCTGCCAAGAAGCAGGAAAATCGCATTCAAAGCACCCCCGACGGATGGTCATAAGCCTCGAAATGATATCTCAGCTATGTCCAGTTATACAGCAATACCTTTATGTGCCTTAAACTGATCTAGACCACTGATTCATCTAGCCTCGTATTATCAACTGTCTGGCAGCAACTCTCTAGAACAGGGGTCCTCAAACTAAGGCCCGAGGGCCAGATACGGCCCTCCAAAGTCATTTACCCGGCACTCGCTCAGGGTCAACCTAAGTCTGAAACTACTTGAAAGCACACAACAACAACAACAACAACAACAACAACAACAACAATCCTATCCCATCAGCTAAAAGCAGGCCCACACTTTCCATTGAAATACTAATAGGTTTATATTTATTACAATTGTTCTTCATTTTAATTATTGTATTGTTTTAAAGTGTTTTTTGCACTACAAATAAGATATGTGCAGTGTGCATAGGAATTCATTCATGTTCTTTTGAAATTATAATCTAGCCCTCCAACAGTTTGAGAGACTGTGATCTGGCCCTCTGTTTAAAAAGCTTGAGGACCCCTGCTCTAGAATTTGAGTTGGGATTCTTTTCTACATCCCCATATCCCTTAGAAGTGTCCCATCCACGTAATAAATAGATCCAACCTTCATCAGATGCAAAAGCGCCACTTAAAGTAAAGGATTGGGGGACAGATTGACAACTCCATATATAATGGGAATAAAATACTATTTAATTGTTTTTTTAACTTTTGTATTGTGCTTTTTAAACTTGACTAATGTGTCGGATTGTTAGCCAGCTTGATTCCCCACAGGGAGAAAGGTGGGGTATAACTAAAGCTTATTATTATTGCTATTATTATTATTATTATTATTATTATTAAAACCAGGAAATGAAATTGGGTGTTGCACCAGAGGTTGAAGTGCAACTTCAAGAATTCCTCATCGCTGTTAAGGTTAGACAGAGATGCCACAGTTGTAGCCTATCGGTTTCTGGAGGTCTATACCCTTCTGGACATCTATTGCCGTTCTTAATTTTTAACTATTTCCTGGCAGATTCCTAAAAGACAGTGGAAAGAGTGGTGATGCTCTGAAGGAGTGAATCACATTTCCAAGAACTGGAAGAGTCTATTCTAGATGGGGTGTGACTCTTATGATGGAGCAGAATTATTTATTTATTTATTTATTTATTTACAGCTTTTATATTCCGCCCTTCTCACCCTGCAGGGGACTCAGGGCGGATTACAGTGTACACATATATGGCAAACATTCAATGCCAATTTTGACATACAACATATACAGACATAGACAGAGGCTATTTAACCTTTTCTGGCCGCCAGGGGAGCTGTCGCTTTCATCGTCCATCTGCGACACTGATGAAGTACTTCCGCATTCCCCGCATGCTTTTGCTGGAGTGCTTGCTGGAGTCTTTTTTTTTATGGCCTCATAAATTAGTTAATTTAGCCTCCCCACACTTTAAGGTGGTACCTAATTTTCCTACTTGACAGATGCAACTGTCTTTCGGGTTACAAAGGTCGACAACAGGCTACACAATTGGTTGGAAACCCACTCCAACCCGGGCTGGCTTTGAACTCATGACCTTTTGGTCAGAGTGATCTTAATGCAGCTGACACTCAGCCAGTTGCGCCACAATCCCGGTAGAAGAAGTGTAACATGTGGATATTTCTTGATTCAGCTTTAACTCTGGAAGCACAGATAGCACGAGTGATTCGGGAGTGCCTTTTCCTAGCTATGGCGGATCTTGGATAGGGATAACTTGACCACAGCAATTCATGAACTTACAACTGCCTGTTTATATTACTGTTATGCACTCCACATGAGTCTGCCCTTCGAATAATTGGATAACTGCTGTTTGTGCCAAATATGGTACATACCATTCATGTACTGACTGTTTTGATTGCATGTGTCTACACTCCAGAATCAATGCAGTTTGACACCACTTTAACTGCCATGGCTCAATGCGGTGGAATAATGAAATCTGTACTTTGGTGAAGCACCAGCACTCATAGAATCATAGAACCATAGAATCAAAGAGTTGGAAGAGACCTCATGGGTCATCCAGTCCAACCCCCTGCAAAGAAGCAGGAATATTGCATTCAAATCACCCCTGACAGATGGCCATCCAGCCTCTGTTTAAAAGCTTCCAAAGAAGGAGCCTCCACCACACTCCGGGGCAGAGAGTTCCACTGCTGAGTAAAGGGTTTGTAAAGGAGCCACCACTTTGTAAGGGTTTATTAATTTGATAGCGTAGCTAATAGCTAGTGATACTGACTTGGTCTTTCTTTATGTGTAGCGTGACTTAACTTGGAAAGGAACTGTAACAGAGACAGGGGTTTAGGAAAAACAGTAACAAGTTTACTGAAATGTGTAAGGAGCTTGATCGCTTCAATGTTTCTTAACTCTTAGAGGCACATATCTTCATAGGTTACATTTATAACGTTTCTTAAACAACTCTGGAAAGGACTCTTCCTTCCACTAAACAGGTTTCAAACTTATTTTTTCTTCAAACTGTGTTTCTTTCCTTAATAGATTACTTCAGTTACAAGCTTATTCTTTCTTTGTGATGTTTCTGTTGCAATAGAGCTTCTCATTGGGTTTCTCTCACCCTTTCTCTCATACACTAACTATTAATATAAATAAGTCAACTCGACTTATTTAAACTATTCAGGCTAAAAGCCAAAACCTTCCTGATTCTTACTACTATAGAATCAGCCACTCCTACAGTTCACAGACTGTAGACTAACTTACTGGTTCTCAACACACACTAGAACCAGCCTCTCCTGTAGTTTGCTGACTACAGACTGTTTTAAAATGGCTGCCCTGCCATTTCCATGGTAACCCAGCTCAACATGAGCTGAGCTGGCTACCATTCCCCCCAATTTTTACAACTTTAAATACTTACCCTTTAAACATATATCTATAATTATACATAACTGCAAGCTAAAAATTTACACTTCACCACAGTAAGCAGTGTCAAACTGCATTAATTCTACAGTGTATGTGCACTCCAGGTTATAACCTCGGCAATCCATTTAACAGTTACAAACTCCTGAGTTTGTTTCCAGCCCAGTTTATTTTATTAAAATAAAAACAAAGAGGTGGGCATATGTAAAGCATTAGGTTACCGTCAATGTTGAGCATCATCTTCCACATAGCAGGCCTGACAGACTGGTGGAAGCCAAACCAGACCTCCCGACCTCCTCCCAGCGGATGATAGTATCCTTCTGGGGGTGAGAAGAAAGAACGGCCCACTGGGGTGTACCTGAGGAAGGCAAAGACAATTTAGAAGCATTACTCCAAGTGACACCCATAAAGGAGAGCAAATGTTTGACATGTAAAAACCTAGATTAAGGCACAAAAGCACACTAGAGTTTCCCTGAGGCTCAGATCTCCTCCTATCAAATTCATTTCTGGCATGAGAGGTCCGGTTCATTCTTTACATATTGTTTAAAACACATATACGGTATTGTCTTTCCTCATATTTGGAGTTTATATAGAGAACGTTCACTTCTTCTACCTTCCACTTTAAGAATTCAGGAAAATGAAATTTTGTTAAGAACAGTTATTGACAGACTACTTGCTCTCCCTACTATTACAACTTTCAAAACTTCTTTAGAGGAAGCTAAGTAAACAGATCTTAAATCCATCCAAATTAGCCCAGAGCTGTGTTCCGGATATTTCTTTTGGGACCACTCAGTTCAAATAATCAAAAAATCAATCAATCAATCACCACAATACTCAACAGAGAAATACTCTCACCTCATGGATGCTAAGTGCCTCATGGCAACATCAAGGGCCTGGACAGATTCCAGAGGAACGGGGATCTGTCCACTCACCAAGGCCTCATGAAGCATTCTCCAACTCACGATGGCCATCCACTTGATAGAAACCTTGAATATCCTGTCTTTGCCTTCACCTGGAATTGTCACCTCAAAGTCAACCTACAACAGAGAAGGGAAAGAAGAACAGAGAGCTGCTAGATGAGTTGGGCTCAGCTATATGTATGTATACAGCCTGCTCTCCATATTTGGTTGCTAACTTTTGAGGATCTTATTATTCACTGATTTGATTAATATGGCCTCTCTAAGAACCCCTAAGTCTTCCACCATCAAAATTTGGCCACAGAGTTGTGCTGGAGGATCTAGAGATTCCTAGCAAGAATACATGTCATATTGAAAGACCTAGAAATTCATAGGAAGAGCACTTATTTAGGCATTTGTAGATCCTCCAGCATAATTCTATGGTGAACATTAATCACAAGATCCTTGTGATACTGGAAGACCTAGAGCAGCGTTTCTCAACCTTGCGGGGGTCGTGCAGAGGTATCAGAGGGGTCGACAAAGGCCATCAGAAAACACGGTATTTTCTGTTGATCATATGGGTTCTGTGTGGGAAGTTTAGCCCAATTCTATCGTCGTTGGGGTTCAGAATGCTCTTGGATTGTAGGCGAATCATAAATCCCAGCAACTACAACTCCCAAATGTCAAGGTCTGTTTTCCCCAAATTCCACCAGTGTTCACATTTGGGCATATTGAGGATTCGTGCCAGGTTTCATCCAGATCCATCATTGTTTGAGTCCACAGTGCTCTCAGAAAGTACGTGAACTACAACTCCAAAACTGAAGGTCGCCAAACCCTTCCAGTACTTTCTGTTGGTCATGGGAGTTCTGTGTGCTAAGTTTGGTTCAATTCCATCATTGGTGGAGTTCTGAATGCCCTTTGATTGTAGGTGAACTATAAATCCCAGCAACTACAACTGTCAAATGATAAAATCAAAACACCAGTATTCAAATTTGGGAGTATCGGGTCTTTGTGCCAAATTTGGTCCAGTGAATGGAAATGCATCCTGCATGTCAGATATTAACATGACGATAATAATCATCATCATCATCATCATCATCATCATCATCATCATCATCACCACACTTTATTTGTACCCCGCTACCATCTCCCCAAGGGACTCGGTACGGCTTACATGAGGCTGAGCACAAATACAACAATACAGACAATAAACAACAGTACAAGCAATTAAAATAAAAACACAGGCAATAAAAATATATAACATTATCAATAAGACAACACACAATTAAAAACAGTGGGAAGGCCAAATGTACAGTTAAAATTGGAAATAATGATGGGACACAGACGAAAAAGAGGTAGTGGTGTTTGCGGAAGGGCATACGAGCAGACCTAAAAAAATGTAAAGTGCTTTGGAGGACAAAGTGCTATGGGATCATTATTCCGGGAAGGCACACTGGAACAGCCACGTCTTCAAGCTCCTCCTGAAGACTGCCAGAGTTGGGGCCTGTCTGATGTCTTTAGGGAGTGTGTTCCAGAGTCGAGGGGCCACCACCGAAAAGGCCCTCTCTCTCGTCCCACCAATAGCGCCTGCGATGCTGGTGGGATCGAGAGCAGGGCCTCTCCGGATGATCAAAGGGATCGTGTGGGTTCATATATGGAGATGAGGTCACGCAGGTAGGCGGGTCCCAAACCGTTCAGGGCTTTGTAGGTAAGAACCTGCACCTTGAATTGGGTCCGGTAAATGAATGGCAGCCAGTGGAGCTCCTTGAACAGGAGGGTTGACCGCTCCCTGTAAGGAGCCCCAGTTAACAACCTGGCTGCCGCCCGTTGGATCATCTGAAATTTCTGGGCCGTTTTCAAGGGCAGCCCCACGTAGAGTGCATTGCAGTAATCCAGTCTAGAGGTGACTAAGGCGTGGACCACCTTGGCCAGATCCGCCTTCCCGAGGTACGGTCGCAGTTGGCGCACGAGTCTTAATCGTGCAAAGGCCCTCCCGGACACCACCGACGCCTGAGCCTCAAACATAAGTGAAGAATCCAGGAGGACCCCTAAACTGCGGACCTGTGGCTTCAGGGGGAGTGCAACCCCGTCCAGCACAGGTTGCCACCCTATACCTCAATCTGGTTTATGATCGACCAGGAGGACCTCTGATTCATAGCACTAGCAAAATTAGAGTTATGAAATAGGAAAAAAAAAATTTATGGTTGGGGGTTACCACAACAAGAGGAACTGTATTAAGGGGTCACGGCATTAGGAAGGTTGAGAACCACTGACCTAGAGATTCCTAGAATAACATTCTTTCAGTAAAAAAAAACCCAGCAGCATTGGTTTTTACTGGCACGTCAATCTATCAATTTATTGTTAAATTTTACTGATGTTGTACAATGTTTTAAAATGATTTTGTTGTGAATTGTAATTTTTATGGTATTTATGCTGTTAGCATCCTCTGATGCTCATGTGAGGCCACGCTGAGTCCCCCTTGTGGGGAGAAGGGCGGGATATAAATATTTAAAATAAATAAAAATAAAAATAAATATTTTTTTTAAATTGCAGTTTTTCCACTTTCACAGGAATTTTGTGCCCCAAGCCCCACCAAATTGGGCCTACTGTATTATCCATTCAAAATTATATTAGTGAACACAGATAGCCCTTACCACAAAACATTTCACCAAAAGCTTTGTAAATTGGGTAGAATTCATTCGTCCTCAACAAGGAGGCTGTTCAGGTCCTGAACCGGTGCTTGGCCACTGTAACGGTCTGGATCAGGGCAAACAAATTGAAATTGAATCCAGACAAGACAGAGGTACTTCTGGTCAGTCGTAAGGCCAAACAGGGAATAGGGTTACAGCCTGTGCTTGACGGGGTTACACTCCCCCTCAAGACGCAGGTTCACAGCCTGGGTGTGATCTTGGACTCGTCGCTGAGCCTGGAACCTCAGGTTTCAGCGGTGACCAGGGGAGCATTCGCACAGTCAAAACTTGTGCGCCAGCTGCGCCCGTACCTTGGGAAGTCTGACTTGGCCACGGTAGTCCACGCTCTGGTTACATCCCGTATAGACTACTGCAACGCTCTCTACGTGGGGTTGCCTTTGAAGACTGCTCAGAAGCTTCAAATGGTCCAGCGTTTGGCAGCCAGGTTGCTAACAGGAGTGGCACTCAGGGAGCATACTACTTCTCTGTTGCGCCAGCTCCACTGGCTGCCAGTTTGCTACCAGGCACAATTCAAAGTGCTGGCGTTAGCCTATAAAGCCCTAAACGGTTCTGGCCCTACTTACCTCTCCAAACGCATCTCCTCCTATGAACCGACTAGGACACTAAGATCATCTGAGGAGGCCCTGCTCTCTGTCCCGCCTGCATCACAGGCGCGCTTGGCGGGGACAAGAGACAGGGCCTTCTCAGTGGTGGGCCCTCAGCTGTGGAACGCCCTGCCTGCAGATATCAGATCGGCCCCCTCCCTGCTATCGTTTCAGAGGAAAGTGAAGACCTGGCTGTTCAAACAAGCATTTGATTAAACAGTGTAATTGAACATAGGAATACGGAATAATGGATGATGAGTCTGGATTCTGATTTTACTGTTGAGGCGCTAATGATTGTTATACTGATGTTTAATGTTTTGTATCGATGTTGCTCACCGCTTTGAGTCGCCTGAGGGCTGAGAAAAGCGGTATATAAATAAAGTAAATAATAATAATAATAATAATAATAATAATAATAATAAAAAATAATGTATGGAACCCACAATAGCTCAGTGGCGAATTTCAGGCTCAAGATATATCAACACAAACACAGATATAGGAACACTCATCTGCTCCATTATAATGTTCATAACATTCCTGGATCAGCTCAGAGTCTAATGATGCAGAAGATCCAGTTTCAAAGAATAGGGAATCACTGCCATGTAACAGAGGGCTAAGAAGATGCATTCACATAACTCCTCCTTTGAAAATAGTTCTAGCCTTAGACAAAAAATAAATACAGAAACTATCCACCCACCCAAAGGACCACTGCCCTCTTACCCTCTCATTCCCAATCGGCAGGGCAGTGACGGTGTAGATGTTCTTCTTGCCATCATATACTGGCTTCCGGTCTCCAAAGATCTGAGGTTTGAAGTGTTGGACCATGTATTCCACAACCTCCCTGGAAAAATAAAGAGTTTGGGTAAGGAGACTGAGAACAGAAGCTAGAAAAATAGGTAGATATTGGTGTTACGATCCTGGTTGAAAACTCAGACCTGGACTGTGGACTGCTTGACTAGACTTCAAGGAATCATAGAATCAAAGAGTTGGAAGAGACCTCATGGGCCATCCAGTCCAACCCCATTCTGCCAAGAAGCAGGAATATTGCATTCAAATCACCCCTGACAGATGGCCATCCAGCCTCTGTTTAAAAGCTTCCAAAGAAGGAGCCTCCACCACACTCCGGGGCAGAGAGTTCCACTGCTGAACGGCTCTCACAGTCAGGAAGTTCTTCCTCATGTTCAGATGGAATCTCCCTTCTTGTAGTTTGAGGCCATGGCTCCATTGTGTCCTAGTCTCCTGAGAAGCAGAAAACAAGCTTGCTCCCTCCTCCTTGTGACTTCCTCTCACATATTTATCCATGGCTATCATATCTCCTCTCAGCCTTCTCTTCTTCAGGCTAAACATGCCCAGCTCCTTAAGCCACTCCTCATAGGGCTTGTTCTCCAGACCCTTTATCATTTTAGTCGCCCTCCTCTGGACACATTCCAGCTTGTCAATATCTCTCTTGAATTGTGGTGCCCAGAATTGGACACAATATTCCAGGTGTGGTCTAACCAAAGCAGAATAGAGGGGTAGCATTACTTCCCTAGATCTAAACACTGATTCTATTGATGCAGGCCAAAGACCCATGTTAACCAGGATTCAGCTATACTTTTATTTGGTTTGAGATTTTCCAAAATAAGAATTTAGACACATATGTGGATGTCTTCCTAATGGAAAAAAATAATTTGAAATTAAAATATCTGAATGAGACAGAAAATGGAACTGACAAACCATGCATGCCTTGAGTGCTTAGCTCTTAGAAACATGAGCAGATGTTTCTGGCTCGAAATTAACAGATGCAACTAAAAATGACTTTTTGCACCTAAATGAGACTCTGAAATAAAGGCTGGGGTGACTGGTAAGAGAAAGGGCTGCAAGCTCTTTTTCCTTCTCACATAAAGAAGAAATTTGTTTGCACAGAATGTGCTCAGCCCTTCAATTTACCTGTTCGGAAGACCCTGAAAATCCAATAAACATAAAATCAACCCACTCTTTCAAAGATATTGGTGGTAGGGATTAGGGTGGGGATAACAGTGAGGGAATGCAGCATTTATTTCGATAGAGAAGTGTAAAAAAAAAAAAACGGGTGGAAAGTGATTAAAAAAATAATAAGAAAAAGAAAAAAACTTTGAGGAAAAGATTATTTGACTCCTAATTTTTCCATCGGGGTAAAGTGTCTATTTTAGTATATATCATATTGTCCACTCCGTCTTTATATATTTATATATATATTTTATTTCAGAATTTTTTTCAATAAAGTCCAGTCTGTTGCTATCTTTGATTTGCCTTGGTGAGTCGTTAGATAGAATGTTAACTAATCCATATTTATTATGTCCAATAGGAGTCTCCAGTGGCGCAATGGATTAAACCCTTGTGCCGGCAGGACTGAAGACCAACAATCAGCAGTTTGAATCTGGGGAGAGCGCGGGTGAGCTCCCTCTGTCAGCTCCAGCTCCCCAATCATGGTATCCTTCTGGGACAACTTTCCGGGATGGGCCTTGGGGGCACGGTTTTATCGTGGCTCCGATCCTTCCTGGAGGGTCGTTCCCAGATGGTGAAGCTGGGAGACTCTTGCTCGGACCCCTGGCCTTTGACCTGTGGGGTCCCGCAAGGTTCCATTCTGTCTCCCATGCTTTTTAACATCTACATGAAACTGCTGGGAGAGGTCATCCGGAGTTTTGGAGTTGGGTGCCATCTCTACGCAGATGACACATAACTCTACTACTCTTTTCCACCTAACTCCAAGGAAGCCCCTCGGGTGCTGGACGGGTGTCTGGCCGCTGTGGCTGTCTGGATGAGGAGGAACAAGTTGAAGATTAATCCCGACAAGACAGAGGTCCTCCTGGTCGATCGTAAACCGGATTGGGGTATAGGGTAGCAACCTGTGCTGGACGGGGTTACACTCCCCCTGAAGTCACAGGTTCGCAGTTTGGGTGTCCTCGTGGACTCATCACTTACGCTTGAAGCTCAGGCGTTGGTGGTGGCCGGGAGGGCCTTTGCACAACTAAGACTCATGTGCCAACTGCGACCGTACCTCGTGAAGGCGTATCTGGCCAGGGTGGTCCATGCCTTAGTCACCTCCAGATTGAATTACTGTAACGCACTCTGCGTGGGTATGCCCTTGAAAACGGCCCGGAAATTTCAATTGGTCCAACGGGCGGCGGCCAGGTTGTTAACTGGTGCTCCTTACAGGGAGAGGTCAACCCTCCTGTTTAGGGGGCTCCACTGGCTGCTGTTCATTTTCCGGTCCCAATTCAAGGTGCAGGTGCTTACCTACAAAGCCCTAAACGATTTGGGGCCCGCCTACCTGTGTGACCGCATCTCTGTTTACAAACCCACACGATCTTTTCGATCATCTGGAGAGGCCTTGCTCGCGATCCCACCTACATCGCAAGCGCGATTGGTGGGGACGAGGGACAGGGCCTTCTCGGTGGTGGCCCCTCGACTCTGGAACTCTCTCCCTAAGGACATCAGGCATGCCCTAACGCTGGCAGTTTTTAGGAGGAGCTTGAAAATGTGGTTATTTGAATAATGATTTAATCAGAGCTGAACAGTCTTATCTTAAATTACAGTTTTATGTAAATATTCAAAACATTTAACCTACTGATGCCTCAATTAATGTAATTTTATTGATATCTATTTTTATTTTGAAATTTACCAGTAACTCCTGCATTTCCCACCCTCGGCTTATACTCGAGTCAATAAGTTTTCCCAGTTTTTTGTGGTAAAATTAGGTGCCTCAACTTATATTCGGGTCGGCTTATACTCGAATATATACGGTAGTTATATTACAATTCATTACACTACCAAAATTACAGTTATGAAGTAGCAACGAAAATAATTGTATGGTTGGGGGTGACCACAACATGAGGAACTGTATTAACTGTATTATTGAGGCCCCTCCGGGGTGAGAAAGGTGGGGCTAGAAATTTCGTAAATAAATTAATAAATATTAAGGGGTTGCAGCATTAGGAAGGTTGAGAACCACTGCTCTATGCCTCTAACCCTAGTGAATACAGATGGTTGACTGTACACTAGTGAGGAGAGCCTGTGCTAAATGTCTCCACAGACAAGTGTGTAAGAAGTTGCAAAGTCTTCATGCTGAATGCTCTCATCCTTATCCTCGCACGTTCAGAATGAAAAATAGAACAGTTTAAAAGGCAGTACAATTGCCCAAAGTCTAAGGACAGCTATTTTAAAAGTCTGGGAGCACAGCCAACATGGCACAGCTGATGTAAGTTGACCGGTGAAAGAGCCAAAAGCCCAGTTAGCTCCTGAGCCGCGAAGGCATGGCCGGGGGCGAGAAACGAGGTGAGAAGGGACACCAAAGACCTAGAGTGGGTGCGGCGGAAGGAAGAGAGGAAGACGCTACAAGAGCCATTTCCCTTCTTGTCTGACTGCCAGCTTGCAGGATCAGCTCCCACCACAAGTAATGCCTCTGCTCTTAACAAAGCAAAACAGGTAAAAATAGCTGTAACAGGTGTGCTCTCACATTTTTGGGGGTTGTTTGTTCTTGTTGGATGTCTTCTAGTCCTAAGGTATCAAACCTGTTTCCATCACATCAGCCTCATGGTTGCCTTCAGAGGGCCAGTGATTCCATGGGCAGAGAATAAGTGGATACGGAGAGCCAACTACAATTTTTTTACATAGCGGCCAGTGCTCTTTAGTTTGCACCCAATTTAGGTCTCATAGAATCATAGAGTTGGAAGAGACCTCATGGGCCATCCAGTCCAACCCCTTTCTGCCAAGAAGCAGGAAAATCAAATTCAAAGTACCCCTGACAGATGGTCATCCAGCCTCTGTTTAAAAGCTTCCAAAGAAGCTCCACCACTGCTGAACGGCTCTCACAGTCAGATGGAATCTCCTTTCTTGTAGTTTGAAGCCATTGTTCCAGATGGCTTCAAACTGGATGGTCTCCAGATGTTATTGGACGACAACTCCCATCACTTTGTACATCAAGCAAAAAGTGGGTGCTAGAAACAATATCATACGAAAGCTGACTGGCACAACCTGGGGATCACAACCAGACACAGTGAAGACATCTGCCCTTGCACTGTGCTACTCTGCTGCTGAGTACGCATGCCCAGTGTGGAACACATCTCACCACACTAAAACAGTGGATGTGGCTCTTAATGAGACATGCCGCATTATCACGGGGTGTCTGCGCCCTACACCACTGGAGAAATTACACTGTAGCCGGTATTGCACCACCTGACATCCGCCGGGAAGTAGCAGCCAATAGTGAAAGGACCAAGGCAGAGACATCTCCAGCTCATCCCCTGTTTGGGTATCAGCCAGCACGTCAACGACTTAAATCTAGAAATCGTTTTTTAAGATCTACAGAGACACTCGCTAGAACACCTCAGCAAGCGAGAGTCCAAAAGTGGCAGGCTCAAACCCAGAACCTCAACCAATGGCTGATACCAAATGAGAGACTCCCCCCTGGGCAAACAGAAAACTGGGCAACTTGGAAGGCGCTGAACAGACTGCGCTCTGGCACCACGAGATGCAGAGCCAACCTCAAGAAATGGGGCTACAAAGTGGAATCCACGACATGCGAGTGTGGAGAGGAGCAAACCACTGACCACCTGCTGCAATGCAACCTGAGCCCTGCCACATGCACAATGGAGGACCTCCTTGCAGCAACACCAGAAGCACTCCAAGTGGCCAGCTACTGGTCAAAGGGCATTTAATCAACTACCAAACTCACAAATTTTGTATTTTGTCTGTTTGCTTTGTTTCTGTTAGAAATGTAATATAATTGACTGGTTGCCCTGACATGACAAATAAATAAATATCCACCATGCAGATTGGGGAGAATAGGAATTGCGCCCCAAGAGCACTTGTGACTGAGGTGGGGGAAAGGTTAAAGGATATTAAAGACATAAGACATCCTAGCCACAAGCCATGCCAAACTAATATGATTTTTCGATAGAGTTGCAAGCTGGGTAGATGCAGGGAATGCACTGGATGGAGCATATTTGGATTTCAGTAAGCCTTCCTTCGACAACGTCCCCCATGACCTTTTGGCAAGGAAACTAGTCAAATGTGGGCTAGGCAAAACTATGGATAGGTGGATCTGTAATTGGTTAAGCGAACAAACCCAAAGAGTGATTTTCCCCAATGCTTCCTCTTCATCCTGGAAAGAAGTGACGAGTGGAGTGCCAGAAGCAGAGTTCTGTCCAATATTGTTTTAATGATTTAGATTAGTGGTTCTCAACCTGGGGTCTCCAGATGTTTTTGGCCTTCAACTCCCAGAAACCCTAACAGCTGGTAAACTGGCTGAGGTTTCTGGGAATTGTAGGCCAAAAACATCTGGGGACCCCAGGTTGAGAACCACTGATTTAGATGAAGGGTTAGAAGGCAAATAACACCAAATTTGGGGGGATAGCCAATACCCCAGAAGATAGGAGCAGAATTCAAAATGATCTTAACACGAAAGAAAGATACACCCAAAGTGAAGAAGATTGGAAGTTAAAACGAAATATCCTACCCCAACCCCAACTCTAACCCTATCCCTATCACACCATTCCTCCTTTCCCTTCCCCTCACCTACTTTCTCAAAACTACCTCCCCATCTAATCTTATCCTATCCCTCCCTCCCATCCCCCAATACCTTAATTTCTATATTTTCCTACTTTCCTATACCAAACATATGTTCCCCCTCTTTTTATTATTTTTTTTTTTTGAATTCATCTTTATTGAGTTTTCCAGTTTAAAAAAGTAGACATATATATATATATATATATATATATATACACACACACATACATACATACATACATACATACATACACACGCGCAATTAACCATCAGACAATACATACAAACATTCCAGAACATGTATACACAATTAAAAACATGTGACTTCCATTTTATGTCCTATCGGATATAGTTATCTGTTCCTTATAGTCCCCCCCCTGTTCCCCTCTTCGATCGGGGGTGGGGTTCCATTCTAGTTGATCCTATGTTTTGGTTTCATTCATTTTTTTTCCCATCCTTGGTTTCTTTTATGAACCTATGACAGATCCTTTTTCCTCTCTTTTCGTCTCATATTCTTCCACCATGTCCCAGTTCGTTTTGGATGGTGGGTTTCCTGACCCTTTCCTCAAAAGAAACGTCAGTTTGTCCATATCTTTGATGCCTCTTAATTTCTCTAGCCACTGCTCTATGGTGGGACTCTCTTCTTCTTTCCATTTTTTTGCAAATGTGAGTCTTGCCGCTGTTGTGATATAGGTGAAGATTTTGTCATCATTCTGTTCGAACTTTATATCTTTTTCTGTCAGCCCTAGTAGAAAGATCTCTGACTTGAGAGGGATGTCTTTTTTTAGAATTTTTTGAGATTCTTCTTTTATTTCTTTCCAAAATTTCCTAGCCACAGGGCATGTCCACCACAGGTGAAAGTAACTTCCCACATTTATTTATTTATTTATTTATTTATTTATTTATTTAGGTCATTTCTACCCCGCCCTTCTCACCCCCGAGGGGGGACTCAGGGCGGCTAACACAGGCAACAATTCAATGCCAACAGTATCAAAACAACAATATAAAACAGCAATATAAAATCAATTACATAACAATTAAACAGTGATATTAATTAAAATTACATAGTCACATAGAACAAATCACATAATCACAGGTCATAAAGCCATTTCCAATTTTCAAACAATCCTATTGTCCGAGTTCAGTGCCTAAAGTGCTGCTGTGCCCACTAGCCAAAGGCCTGGCTCCAAAACCATGTCTTTAGTTTTTTCCTAAAAAAAAGGAGGGAGGACGTGAGAGATGGGCCAAAACTAACAAAAGAAGTTCAACAGCAAATGCAAGATACTCCACTTAGGCAGAAAAAAATGAAATGCAAAAATACAGAATGGGGGACAATGCCTGGCTCGACAGCAGTACGTGTGAAAAAGATCTTGGAGTCCTCGTGGACAGGAAGGTGAACATGAGGCAACAATGTCATGCGGCAGCCAAAAAAAGCCAATGGGATTTTGGCCTGCATAAATAGGAGTCTAGTGCCTAGATCCAGGGAAGTCATGTTATCTCCCTATTCTGCCTTGGCCAGACCACAACTGGAATCACACTGTGTCCAATTCTGGGCACCACAATTGAAGGGAGATGTTGACAAGCTGGAATGTGTCCAGAGGAGGGTGACTAAAATGATCTGGAGAACAAGCCTTACGAGGAATGGCTTAAAGAGCTGGGCATGTTTAGCCTGCAGAAGAGAAGGCTGAGAGGAGACAGGATGGGGACCATATATAAAAGTGTGAGGGGAAGTCATAGGGAGGAGGGAGCAAGCTTGTTTTCTGCTGCCCTGGAGACTAGGACACAGAACAATGGCTTCAAACCACAGGAAAGAAGAATCCACCTGAACATTAGGAAGAACTTCCTCACTGTAAGGAGAGCTGTTCAGAAGTGGAACTCTCTGCCTCAGAGTGTGGTGGAGGCTCCTTCTTTGGAGGCTTTTAAACAGAGGCTGGATGGACATCGCTCAACGTGCTTTGAATGCGATTTTCTTGCTTCTTGGAAGGGGGTTGGACTAGATGGCCCAAGAGATCTCTTCCAATGCTATGATTCTGTATATCCAAAATCAAACCTGACTGAACAGAATAAACTGCAGCCTTCCTAAGTCACAGCTCCCATCCACCCTAGTCATGATGATACAATTACAAAAGTTGTAGTCCGGCATCTGGAGGACCACATAAAATGTCATGTATTCTAGCAGTTTTCAATTCATGAGAGTGTGTGACTTGGCCTAGGGTTACCCAACGCATTTCCATGGCTGAGCAGAGCATCTAATTCTGGTCTCCAAAGTCATACTCCAATGATCAAACAATTATACTGTGCTACCTGAACAAGGAGGGGAAGAACAAGGAGTAAAATGGCTAAGCACTAATACTTGCCTTACCTGTTGACTCTGCGCGGGCACTTGTCGGGCTTGATATCAACTTCATAGTGGTAGACATCGATCTTGGGGATGTCCACCTCAAAGTAATTGGCTAAGAGTTTGATGGGCTTCCCAACGGTTCCTATCCCGGGCCGGCGGGGAGCTTGAAACACCTGCTGCAGGGGAGGCAGGTAAGCACCGGCAGCGGCTGCTGGACAGAACAAAAGAACATAGGAAGAAAAGATTGAAACACAATGCTATTCATAGCATTTCACATATTATGCAGTTATCCCTCCACATTTGAGGTTTTGACTTTTGCAGAGTTGATTATTCACAGATTTAATTCAAAATATTCTCTAGGTTCTCCAGTGTGACTCTATGGTGAACCTCTCTAAGAATGCCTAGGTCCTCCAATGCAATTCTATAGTCAACTTCCAGCAGATGTTGACCCGAAAGACCCAGAAATTCCTAGAGAGGTGATCTCTGAGGTAAATAATTGTTGGGCGAATGTATAGCAGAATAATTTATCAGCAGCAGCATGACCCAGTACCAGTAGCCCAAAGGGATAAAAAGAACAAAAACACACAGACCAATGTTATATCTTCTATAGGTGGCTTTTCTTTATAGCAAAATAATAAGGTTCCACTATTTACAAGAACAAGGTTTCCATAACACAAATAAAGTTCAACCTTCACACTGGAGATTCACACACAAGGCCTTCTCACAGATTAAGGCCTATCTCACACAGAGGCGTCTCTCACAGACTAAGGCCTATTCTCCCACTGAGGCATCATCTCACACAGAGAGGCTTCTCAAACACCGAGAGCTCTCTCAGATTGAGGCTAAGCAACAGGTACGCCTGCTTATATTGAACTACAGCGTTTGATGAGTCACATCCAACACTTTCAGTGCCCGACTCACATTTTTGTAATTAAAAATATCTAGTTAAAAGTTACAATTTTTATACATGGATTTTCACTTTCATGGAGGTCAAGTGCCTCTGATCTCAGGTAAGTGGAGGGCTGACTGTATTATAAGTGATCCATACAATTCCTGGTTTGTATCACTACAGCTGTATGCAGCTCACAACGGCTTACTATATTTCATTCATACACACACACACACACACACACACACACACATATATGTATTTTATATATATTTTATATATACTATTTTATATCATATGCTATTGTTTTTAACAGAATTTCTTGACTGTTTTTACTTGTTATAATTGTTGAGGCATCGAATTGTTGCCAATTTGTGAACTGCTCCGAGTCGCCTCTGGGATGAGAGGGACGGTGTATAAATATAGTAAGTAAGTAAATAAATAAATACTAGAATTTTAGGTATTCAACTCCACAAAGTCACTTGCTTAACTGTAAACAACCACTCAGACGTTGTACAGAGGGAGATCCTGCAAATGGAGGTATGCCATTTACTTATGGTAAATGGCCACAGTGCTACCCAGAATGAGAACTTTTAGATTTCTATATTCAAAAATAGACCTGCTGGGACCTCCAGCCTGCTTGGAAATTATACTCTGTGGCCTCAAACTCCACCTTTTGACAGGATTCTCATCTGGCTATACATGCTGCATGGTAAATAACTAACCCAAGTAAGTGGGTGAAGCTATATGGTATAAGGAAGGCCACAAATAAGAGCAAGAGAGGGACCAATGGATCAACATATGTGTATAAAGCTGTGTATAGTCGCTATGTCACTTCAGGGAAAAACTGACTACATATACAGTCCAAGCAAATATGTATTAGAATAAAGAGGAAATGCACCATTATAATGTGACTACTCAAATAATGTGATGTATAGCTAGGTAAATGGGAGACCAAAATACCCAAAATGTACCAGATCATGACTGAACTTGGATGCTGAGCAGGGTCAGCCCTGCCTAGTACTTGGATGGGAGATCACCAACAAATGTCAGGTGCTATGGGCCATGTTTCAGAGGCAGAAACTGACAAAACCACGTTTCAGGATTCCTCGCCTTATGGGGTCACCATAAGTCAAAAGGCACAAATGCAAACACAAATGGGAAGAGATGGCAGCCTACATTTTAAATACAGCTGCTACCTTCAACTGCGGATGTAGTTCAGCTTGTGATTGTGTCTGATGTAAATGGGAATGATGGTTTTCCTGGGCCTGTGTCTGATGTCAATGGGGATGAGGGTTTTTCTGGGCCTGAGTCAAGCCCAGGCCTTGCTGAGAGGCCCGAGATCTCTCATGAATGGAGTGCTTCTCCTGTAGATTCCCAAGGTCAAATTCCTGGGAGAGGCCAACAGTGGTCTTTCTCTGAGAAACTAGTGCAGAATTTAATGAGTTTTCAGACAGAAAACAAGACTTTTGTAAACTAAGACAAAGTTCTCAAGATTGGCGAAAGTCAGTCCATCTGCTAGAAAAGAGAGATAAGACACCCTTATCTGGCTGTAAGGGCAAACTGAATGCTTTCCTTTCGGTTTATTAGATCATGACAGTCTTGTTTCCAAGTGGATTTCTAGTTCCATGTTTCAAGTTTTGCCAGGTTCCTCTTCTGGGAATTGGATCTCTATGCTGTCTGTTTCGCATCTTTGGATCTTGTGTTTTTGTTTTTGTACCCTGAAGTTCATGGACTATCTGTACTCTTTGGAAAATACTGTTTTGGACTATACCGTCTCTATCATTTTTATTGCTTTGCTAGACTATGACACCGTGCAACATAGTAAAATGCAGCAGAAAGTCTACTATATTACCCGAGACTATGATTTTACAAAAACTATCCAGACTCTCCTAGAAAACCGTAGCTTCTATGTGGAGTTTCAAGGCAGGAAAAGTAGATGGAGGAGGCAAAAGAATGGTTTACCCCAAGGCAGCGTTCTTGCACCGACGTTGTTTAACATCTTTACTATCAGCCACAACCACCACTCACAAAGAGCTTTATATATGCAGATGACTTTGCCCTAACAACACAAGCAAAAGACTTTGAAACAGTTGAAATCCAACTTACTAATGCCTTGAAAGATATCTCCAGCTACTTCAAAGATAACCACCTGAAGTCTGACCCTGCCAAGACACAAGTGTGTGCTTTCCACCTGTGCAACTGTGAAGCCAACAGGAAATTGAAAGTCACCTGGGAAGGTCAAGAGCTTGAACATTGTTTCCATCCTAAATATCTTAGTGTCACCTTAGATCGAGCACTAGCATATAGGAAACACTGCTTGAACAACAAACACAAAGTAGCTGCACAAAATAACATCCTGCAGAAACTTACTGGCAGCACATGGGGTGCAGACCCAAAATTAGTAAGAACATCAGCCCTAGCCTTGTCTTACTCAACTGCCGAGTATGCCTGGCCTGTTTGGCATAGGACTGCCCATGCAAAGCAGGCGAACACAGCATTGAATGAAACATGCAGAATAATCACAGGATGCCTTAAACCTACACCTGTTGATAAACTCTACAAGCTAGCTGGCATTTCGCCCCCCCCCCCCCCCCCCCGCGATGTGCAACGGGAAGTTGCTGCTAAATGTGAGAGAAATAAGGTTGAACACTGTGAAAGCCGCCCACTACATGGCTACCAGCCTCATCCCAGTAGACTCAAATCAAGGAAAAGCTTTATGAGAACTGCCACTCCTCTTGGCATCCCCCCAGCAACAGCAAGAGTATTCCTCTGGGCCGCTCAACCAGGAAACCCCAACTGGATGGCCCTCCACGAAGGTCTTCCTCCAGGGGCAAACCAAGAATGGGCAACTTGGAAGTCCCTGAACAGACTCAGAAGTGGAGTGAGCTGAACAAAAAACAACCTGGCAAAATGGCACTACCGAAAAGAATCCCACATCTTATGTGATTGTGGAGAAGAACAGACAACTCCGCACCTGTATGCTTGTCCACTGTGCCCTGCCTCAAGTACAGAGGAAGAATTGTTGGAGGCTACAGACAATGCCATGGCTGTTGCCCGTTTTTGGTCAAAAGATATTTAGCCACCTGCACTCCTTCTATTTTTTTCGATTTTATACTAATTTATGCAATGTTTTTGATACGAAATAAATAAAATTGCTTTGCATACATATATCTTTCAATAAACAGATTACTAATTTAATCATGCTGGTGTGGTGTTTAAGGACAGAGGTGTTCCTACTCTGGTAAACAAAAACAGCCGAGTAATGGAATTAACAGTATTTATGAAAGTACTAATTCACCATTCATTAACTGATTTCATGCATGTATTATAGGTGTGACTAGCACAGTGTTTCTCAACCTGGGGGTCGGGACCCCTGGGGGGGTCGCAATGGGGTGTTGGAGGGGTCGCCAAAGACCATCAGGATACACAGTATTTTCTGCTGGTCATGGGAGTTCTGTGTGGGAAGTCTGGCCCAATTCTATCATTGGTGGGGTTCAGAATGCTCTCTGATTGTAGGTGAACTATAAATCCCAGCAATTACAACTCCCAAATGTCAAGGTCTATTTTCCCCAAACTCCCAGCAGTGTTCACATTTGGGCATATTGAGTATTCGTGCCAAGTTTAGTCCAGATCTATCATTGTTTGAGTCCACAGTGCTTTCTGGAGATAGGTGAACTACAACTCCCAAACTCAAGGCCAATACTCACCTAACCCTTTTATTTATTTATTTTTGCTGGTCATGGGCGTTCTGTGTGCCAAGTTTGGGTCAATTCCATCTCTGGTGGAGTTCATAATGTTCTTTGATTGTAGGTGAACTATAAATCCCAGCAACTACAACTCCCAAGGTCCAGAGAATGAAAATACATCCTGCCTATCAGATATTTACATGATGATTCATAACAGTAGCAAAATTCCAGTTATGAAGTAGCAACGAAAATAATTTTAGGGTTGGGGGTCATCACAAGATGAGGAACTATATAAAGGGGTCGCGGCATTAGGAAGGTTGAGAACCACTGAGCTAATAGATTTAGGTCGGTGTTAGGAAAGTTACCGTATATTCCGGCATATAAGACGACTGGGCGTATAAGACGACCCCCAACTTTTCCAGTTAAAATATAGAGTTAAGACAACTCCCATGCATAAGACTACACCCGCGTATAAGACGACCCCTGACTTTTGAGAAGATTTGCTTGGGTTAAAAAGTAGTCTTATATGCCAGAATATACTGTAGTTAAAAGGAAGTCCTGGTAAAGCTACAGCTCTCTGAAGGGCAGATTGGTGAACAGAATGATGCCAGGAGTTCAAACTGGCGCTCAGTA